TAAATAGGTAATGATTAGTTTAGCGTATCTTTTCTCCTCAAAAATATGAAATATTTTACGCACACAAGTAAAGTATTTTTGATATTATTTTAGCTTTCTATCGTGTCAAGCTTCCAAATCATCGTGAGCCGCGGTAGCTCGGTGAGTAATTTTCGCTCAGTGTTGGAAGAGAAAGTCCATCGGGTTTTCCGGCGTGGTTTCCCCTTTTCAGTGGTGCAAGACGGGGTTCCTGACAAGGAACACTGTCTAGTGGTTTTAATGGCGTGCACGTAAAAGAACTCTTGGCAGTTAGCATTTGAAATAAGAGAAGGCCGTAGCGCCGCCGTCTGTGCAAAATCACCTCACACTGCACACTTCATGGTGTATTCCCGTCTTGATTAGCACAGTTGGTGCTGAACGACGGGACGTTAAACTCTATTTCATTTCATTTAAAGATACATTATGGGAGATTAGATAAAGAGCTAGCAGTTCTCACTAGTTAATTTGCTGAAAATTTCAGTCAAATTGATCCACACTGCACCGAGAATTTAGCGATTTAATTTTGGGCCTAGCCTCGATCATCATTACTAAAGTCAAATTGATCCACTTTGAAACGAGATTTTAACGATTGAATTTTGGGCTTAGCCTCGATCATCATTATTAAAGTCGGTACGATAAAAACAACATTGCATATAGTCTCGATTATCCATTTTCTGATTTAATCACGAATGAGCGTTGAGCAGCAGATCGGATCCTAATCCAGTAAATATCGCAGACTAGCGATGACATCGAGAGTTGATTATGATCTGGCCTAAAGAAAGACCTGTACTAGGCAGATTTAGCTCTTGCATAATATATGTTTAACTAATTGGATAAAGGCCAAACGAATTTGAAATTGGTATAGTTTTGCATTGTGAACCCCCCCTAAAAGTCCCATAATATGCTGGGATAGCATGCAATACAGATACCAATGTTTGTCCGATCTAGAGACACTTAAAATATGCGTTAAAGGCCGAAAGATCTTGGATGCGCATATATCTGACATCAGACCACGGCATCTTTGGCTATGACTCTTTTGCGTAAAGAGTGTACGTAGTTTGTTCACCCAATTTTAGACGAGACTTAAAATATGGGTTAACAATCGAAAGATCTTGGATTTGTTTGATTTCGGTGTGCATCGGAACTTCCGTTCAGTAGTGATCTCCCTTTGTCGAAAACATTGTGAATGCGATACAGGCTATAGTTTTTAACAGATTCTTTTGGAATTTGGTTATGCTCCCTTAGCCAAAAACCATATCGATATTAAGCATTCTGCAACCCCCCTTTGCGGAAAACAGTGTTAACTCTATGGAGGCTGCAGTTTTTAAACCATATTTTTCATCTTCGATATGAAGAATTTGAGACAATGGGGTGAAGAGCCCTGTCGATTTTCACTGTTTTTCGTTCATTTCTTGCACAGATGCGCGCGCGCGTGTGTGTGTGTGTGTGTGGGGGGGGGGGGATTACGCTTTGCTGTAATTTTATATCTGAATTATCATTTCCTGTTCCTCAATCCAATCTCAAATAAAATAAGATATTGTTTATAAACCAAAACGAACACAAAAACACCTTGTTCTACTGGTGTATTTTTATATTAATTTAAGATACATTAGTTAAGAGTTTAATAAAGAGTTAGTCATTCTTGCTATAATAATTCAAAAATAGATGATAAAAGCGAAAATATTGAAAATTTCATTCAAATTACTTCATTCTCAGCCAAGTTATCATTGTTTGTAGTTTTGAAAAGATGTGTACACAGTGGTAACCAGGGCACTGGTATAATCGGGACTTAGCCTCGCTTTCCCATTTTTAAATTAAATTTTTAAATGGCGAACCGTTTTAATCTAGTTAAAACCTCGTTATCCGATGCCATCGAGACTCGATTATGGTCTTGTTTTGTTAATAAATGTCTAATTAATAGTTTATATAATATTTCAGGCCTAAAGAAAGACCTGCAATAGGCAGATTTAGCTCTTGCATAATGTATCTTTAAATATTATCAGAATAATTTACTTTTGTACGTAAAATATTTTATATATCTTTAGAAAAAAAAAGTCTATTACTTCTCTCAAAAATATCGAGAACGAATATTGCAAAAAAAAAAGAGGCTAAATCAATCGATATGGCCGTATTAGGGCAAATGCACGACAAAGTAGCCTATTTATTCATCTGAAAAATATCGAAAATAATTTGCTTCTGTAACTAAAATATTTTATTATTTTTGACAGAAAAATTTTGTCATGTTTGAAGGGTTATGAAAAGGGCGAGATTTTACAAACCCCAAAACATGACATTTTTTCTTTCAAACATAGATACAAAAGTAAATCATTTTCGACAATTTTGAAATAAAAATTAGGCTATTTGTTTTTCTCTAAAGAAAACTAAAGTATTTTACGTGCAAAAGTAAATTATTCTAATATTATTTAAGTAATCTGGAAATACGCCAGTGGGTTGTTTTTTGTGTGTTTGTTTTGTTTTATAAACAATATTTTATTTCACTTGGAATTGGATTGAGAAAAGGGAAATGATACTTCAGATGTAAATGTACAGCCACTAGGTCCACAAGATTTCGGAAAAGGGGGATAACGCAGATGGACGGGGTAAACCGACAGGGCTCGTTCTCTAATTGTCCCGATGATTTACATCGAACATCTAAATGCATCCATCGTCTTGTCTTCGTCGCTATCGAATTCAAAAATGTTCTGCCAGTTCTGCCAGTGCAAATGACAACACTGGACACGAGTCGGATGCCAGGCCGGTAGGACTACGCGAGACGAGAGGAGCCGCGAGTACGTGAGTGTGATGAGCGAGTACGCGTGTTCAATGACAGTAGACCAACACGCCTCATAATAGTTATGTGCATCGCACATATTATGGTATCAAGACAAGAGGATCAGGAGGTGATGATGACAGGCAGGCCTCGGTGGACCATGCTACGAGCCTACGAGTCGCCTACCAATTTGAACACTCCTGAAAAATCATTATTGTCAGTATTTGGGGGGGGGGGGAGGCTAATTCGATTTATTTTTTTTTGGGGGGGGGGATCAATCAAAGTATCTGGTTCAAAGCCTCCAACGCTTGCAGAATTCTGCTGCTTACTGTTTGTGGTAGAGGCAATAAGTGTGCCAAGTTTCGAGACGTCTATGAAAGTTTGAGGCCACAGAAAATTAACAAAACGTGTTTGTGGCACTTCATATCGGGTTTGGTCATGGACAAATATAAATGTGTAGCCTACAATCTTGTTATTGAAAGGATTGATTATGCCGAATTGGAACATAATATGTTAATAATAGCGAACTGTAGAGTATTTATAGACATAATATTAACAAAAAATGGGCGTGGCACCGTTCCTGTGGGTTGGGCTTGCAGAGAAATCCATAATTGTCGTAGGTATGCCAAGTTCCAAGATGATCTTTTCAAAATTGTAGCATGTAGGCAATGCATACAAAAATCGGGCATGGCTGTGCCCCTGCAGGTCGAGCATGCACCAAAACCAGAAGTTGTCACCGGTAGCAAGATGACTCGTTCAGAATTACGGCTTGTAGGACAGCCTCCCTTAGGAATTAATGTTTTACTAACCCAGTGATTCTCAACCAGTGTCGACGGCACACTAAGAAAATGCGAACAACCACGTGATCCCAATTGCATCTTCACTGGTGTCTACTGGTAAGTTCATAGCTGTGTTTTCTTTATTTAGTTTGAGTCATTCTATTTGTGTATGACTAGTCTGTGTGTATGGTTGTATGCCGTCTGACTTGCAATGTTTTTGTTTTGCAAATTTCAAATATTTTTCATATTTATTTAGCCAGGTGTGCCGCTATATTTTCATGAGTTACAAGGGGTGCCGTTGGCAAAAAAGGTTGAGAACCACTGTACTAACCTATAAGATGAACATCATTTACTTTGAACATTATCAAATGTCTCACCACAAAGCAAAGTAGTTGCTCAAGGGCATTCTATACTTATTCAAACGCCTGATCTACACAAAAAATGCTAAAAAAAAACGGCGTCTCACAAATTCTCATCTCGGGTGACCGTCATGAGTCTATTGTAAACTAATCGGAAGATTTATTTTAATAGTCTTCTCATGCAACCAAAATAATTATATTGTTCATGAAACGAAGGAAAATGATAAATTTAACAATCGATGTGGTTCTTCTTTATGTCTATAGACTGGGGGGGGGGGGGCGACTCTACCCCTAGTGATGTACAAGCATGGATCGAAACACGCTTCTTGATAACATGACCTGAAACGCACGCGTTAGACTATTCAACCACCCAATTTCCACCTTTTCGAAAGCATTACCAGCAACGAGTACCAGCAGAAGAGCCCCCGAAAAAATGTCTAAAAGAACAAATAAACCCAAGTGTCAGACCTTGTGACTGATTTCTTTAATCTGTGTGTCCGAGGTACTGTTTCATGTTATGCTTGGTAGAAGGGTTGGAGATAAATCAGCTACAAGGTGTTAACTAACAAATTATGACGATGCTTCTGTATTTTCGTCACATTACACGCCTTGTTTAATTACTTACTTTTTTGCAATTTTAACTGAGGGAACCAGCAATTGGAATGGGTCAGATTTCAAATTTCATTAAGCACCAAATAATTAAACCACAAACCACGCTGAAAACCATGAACAAATCATAATGGTATAGTCTGTGATAGAAGGTCATGTTGTTGCCTGCGATATCACCCAAGGTGAATGCGGACGTGAAACCCCACGAACGAACGATGTTAGCGTTCGCATACTGGCGCTTATTACATGGAAAATCTCCAAAAAAACATAAATAGGTATTTTGTTTACAGTCACGTTCATATTAATTGGGTTGATAATCAAATTCAGGGGCAAATAACACGTCTAAAACTGCTTCTTTATCAGTAGAAATATTTAAATGAATGAAATATTTTTGAACACTGAATTTTTGTCTGCTATCAAACAATTAATGACGATTATAGTTTTCGAATAACAAAATATTGACGGACATAAAATAATGTCCATTTATTGAAAACTAGTATACATGTAATAACATTTATTCTATAACCAAAGTATATAAATATCTAATACTTCAGGTGTATGTCAGCCAGTTGAATATGAAATCATTATTTGAAACAGTATACAGTAACCATGTCGTTTTACTACATTCGAAGTAAAAAGATCCCAACCCCTCTCCCCCGAATGAGTTCTGCAGTGGATGCGGGATTGGTCTTTCAAGAAAGTAATGCGTCACAAAATTAATAAACCAGCGGCTGACAGGCAGATACGCCCACATTTTGCAAGAGATTTTTCGTACAATCAAGGGCCATTATTCAGGAAGTTACGATCCGATATGCGCGAATATCGACAGGAATCAAGATCTTTGGGTTATAAAGTTTCATCAAAATCGGATCAAAATTGTGAGGGTCTACAACCTTGATATACCATATATTTACACTACTTGCGCACAAGGGGCTGCAATTTGTCCGGCAGTTTTGGTCCCAATTTCACGAAATTCGTGAAATCAAGGTCCATAATTCAGGAAGTTACGATCCGATATGCGCGAATATCGACAGGAACCAAGATCTATTGGTTATAAACATGCATTTCAAGTTTCATCAAAATCAGATGAAAATTGTGATCTGCAGAGTGTCTACAAGCTAAAAGCGTGATTTTTCGTACAATAAGGGGCCACAATCCATGAATTTATGGTCCGATTTATGCCAATATCGAACGGAACCGAGATCTTTGGGAGATAGACCTATATTTTACGTTTCGTCAAAATCGAAGAAAAATTGTGACTTGTGGACGGACGGACAAGGGCGACGACAATATACGTCCACATGAAAATGTGGGCGTATAAAAATGAAATGTAATGAGATAACAATACTGATTAAGTAATGAGACTTGCAATACTCTGCCCTTTTATAAAATGACAACTCATGTCATGCTGTGTCTAAATTTCTTATAGGAAATTATAGATACGGCTGATATGCAGGATATTTGTCACAGAAAAGAAATGTGCCGTGAAATCAATGCGACTGGCGACAGACATCATTTCTTGCTCGAATTAATTTCTTGTTTTACAGACGGTCTAACCAATTATAGCAACTGTACAGAGCGCATCACATTATCCACAAAACTTATGGAATTGATATATGATCACTGTGAAATAAATATCAATAGGATTCATTGGGTAATTGATTCACATAAGGTGATGCACCTCGTCCAAAATTAAGAAATGCTCACGTGGTTTGGTTGTTACTGATGTGTTCCTGTTCCTGGATGAAGGGGAGTGATCACTATTACACGCGTAATATCATACAGTTATGAAAACTAATATTAATTAGAAAGCAAAAAAGCAAAGCCATAAATGAGATAGGATAGTATGATATAAACACTGATCATAAATAAAATCATAGCTAAATGCTTAAAGACAAGGACGTCATTGTTTTCTTTTATCGTTGAGGATATAAATTTCACCACATTATGTCATTTTAATTCTGATAATATTTTCCATTTAAAAATTTCTACATCTTCATATCGCTAAGCTTGCACTTGACCTATTCTTATCACATCCGAAGTATTAAAGTCACTAAAATCAACGGAATCGGTAGGAGCGGTATCTTGAGCGTTAGCCTTATTATAAAGAGCATTATCAAAACCAACCGATCCAAATCCTAAAGGTAACTTTGCTTTGCGTCTTTTCACAACTATAAGAAGAACAGCTACTATGATGACTAACCCTATAGTACCTATAACAATTCCAGCTATTTGTCCACCTGTCAGGCTTGATGGAGAATCTGAAAAAAGAAAAACCCATTTAAAACATGTTTAGTTATTTTAGGATAAAAGTAGAAGTACCACGTTTCCCAACCAACCATTTGAACTCAGAAATCCACAAAATCATGGGCAATTAGACTAAAAAACATATATATTACAATAGATACAAGTGTGACACTATCGTCTAGGACTTTCTTTGACTTCACGTTGTGGGATAAATTATTTCAATCATCAATTAACTGACTCTGGAACACCGTTTATGTTAAGTTTATATAACAAACACAGCAAACTACAAAGGTTAAATACAGGAAAACTACAACATCTATTATAGATACTTTAGGAGTTATTAAAATATCCACGGTCTGAGTTTAACATCCTTTATAACTCTAACCTAATGGCTGAAACGTGGTAAGAGCCACATACTTCTAAATAGTTCTACATGATGTTCGCGCTAGGATGATGTCTTCCCCCTAGCCTCTAAGCCGAGGAGGATATGATATTCCCCTAGGCAATCCAAATGATATCTCCTCTACGGTCTGTGAATGATGTCTGGGGGGAAATATAACCTGCTCTTTCTTATATAGAAAGTATAGATGAGTCAGCTATTAGGGTAAGTGTTTCGAATGGGCACCGTTTTACGTCAACACTATTTTACTTAATTGTACTAATCTGTGCACGAGATAGCTGGACGATAGAACCCTACTTCCAGCAATTGATGGCGACTGGAGCTGTCTGTGAGTTAGTTTAAATAACTTGAATCTTGCAAAATACCTACTTAGCCCATTTCCTGATGTCGCTATTAGGGCGGGACAATTACCATATTTGGGTAAGTGTTTCGTATGGGCACTGTTTTACGTCAACACTATTTTAGTTAATTGTACTAATCTGAGCACTAGATGACTTGACGATAGTACCCTACTTCCAGCAATTGAACCTTGCAAAATACCTACTTAGCCCATTTCCTGTTGTCACCCATTTGTTTAACCAGTTCAATATATTAAACGGAGCACATATAATAGAACTAAAATCAACCCTATATAGTATTACATATATTCATTAAATTCTGGTACTTTATGATTTCAGGACCTACCCGATATTGCCCTGAATATAGATAAGAATTGATTGATTCCCATACCTTGGGTTTTGGACAGGCGTGAAGGTGATGGTCTTACTACAAAGGGGAATGTCAGATCTCTAGTTTTTGGCTTGTTCGTTTGGCCACTAGGAGTTATTCCACCAGATGCAGCAGCAACAGTTGATCTTTGATTGAAACTAGCCTGGGTAGTTAATATTGGTTGTTGTTTTTCAGATTTTGTATTAGCCGCAGTAGTTGGTACCAGTGTGGTAGAAACAAATACTAAAAAGATCAAGACATTAAATCAATCTACATTAAATACCAGCTTACAGTAAAAGAAAATAAATCAAATTGGCAATAAACGAAGTTCACAAAATGATAAAACCTACTTTTCCTAGTTTTACACACAAAAGCTCTGTTAGTAAAACAATCGAGATCATTCCATAAACCAGAATCTGTGTACATCTCTACACAGTCTTCATGTAATTTAGCATCAGTATCAGATGGTTCTCCTGTTGCCCAATTCAGATATAATGTTGGTTTGTTATCGGTCCATTGAAAACCAGCTGTAAAGTATAAAGCAAAAATATGTACACTCTAAACCTGGGATCAACATAAATAGAATTGATTCTGTTATTGGTGAATATGGTGATGCAAATGACCTCCAAATGATAACATTTACAAGAGATATTGGTGATATTGAGAAAGGGTTTTATTACTGATTATGATAGTGCACAATATACTGATATCACTAAAAAGGGCATCATGTTCAGCAAGGTAATGTGATTCCATAAAACATGATATTTTGTTATATATTCTTTGGATGATAAGTTAAGACGATGCTATTCTATTGCTGGCCATTGGTGATAAGGGACGAATCAACGATGACCTACCAGGATTAACATTTGAATTTGATTTAGAATGGATATTATATATTTCAAGATAAGAAAACCTTAAATACCAATAAATGGATGCTAGGAAACCCCCTGATACACTATTTATACATTGGCAATCGGGATAGCTGATCATTTTATTAGTTCGTTTCGTTTTCAATAAAAGAAATAAAATAAAACTGACCCTTTTCAACCTTATATAAACCTAACCAAATTCTACTGACAGAATTGAGTGCGCTGCTGTAGAAATAACGCCGAGTGGTAACGAGGGTACTGGTAATAAGATCTTTAACAAATATCATCTCCTTTTTACTCTGTAGACTGACTAATTCCATTCCCTGTCTCTGACAAACATATCGTGCTTCAGGCCAAGACTTGGTCTGCACGACACTGTAATAACAATAATCGCCGAACATTGTCCAGTTGGGATCACGACATCGTCCACTGGGCATCGGTGTTGTTGGTGGAGGTAGTTCTGGTAGAATCGAAAAGATAAAAATGGTACTTATGAATAACTATATATTACTACCAAGCATAATAGTGAGGCCAATACGTTTGCCAGGAGTATAGTCTACTCAGTACCTCTGACTTTTAAATTCATTTAGAAATACGTAGCTACGGGTATCATGGCCGAGGCCCTGTATGTTTATATGCATTCTAGAACACTTGCTTTAATTCCATTTCTCATTTGAAGTATTCGTATAACTAACAATGTCTTCTTGTTCTTTAATGGAGTTTTCTGATTTCTTACCGACCGAATGGGTTAATAAAATGTATCCTTTTCTAAAATTGACACATGTATATAATTATATATACCTACCTGTGTTAATCATACAAATATAAGGATACGAAGCGTTACACATCGTATCATTCCATTTCCTGTTCATAATAGCTACACACCCTTCTCCATCACCACGTGAAGGTTCATCTCCTCCCCATTTAGAATATATTCTAGGCCACCCATCACTCCAAGTATATACACCCTTTGTCTAAAACAAATATAACGATTTCCTAAAATGATGAAATTTAGCAACCCCTGAACTAAACACTTTTCATACAAGTCATGTTGTTGTTCTTGGTGTTTAACGTCCGCTTCCACCGAAGGTGATATCGCAGACAAGACTTATATTTCTTTTTTTCTTATTATCTCAGCGCACGTGCAGGGGTCTCTCCCGTGAAGGAAACCGGAGTACCCGGAGTAAACCCACGAGGTTGAGAAGGCGCCCCTATCTCCAAGCCACATACGCTCAGACCAGGGATCGAAACCACAACCGCAAGCCAGATGTGATCGGCACGCTAGAGGTCGAAGCGCGGCACTCTAGACCATACAAGTCATACACATTTCTATTTTATATATTGTAGCCCCAGATTTGTTCGTATAAAAGCGCATTCAACAGTCGATCAATTATTTGTTACAATAATTGTCGTTTACCAGATATTTCCGCCACGATTTGATTATCATATACGATCATTTAATCCACAAATTGGATTGAAGTTGGGTGATCAAACCAAATAAATTCAAATATCAGGCTAACACTAGTCCAGTTGAAGCAATTTGAAACCTGGTTCATCCAGATAAATATTTACAAAACTGTTATTGCCCTTACCTGGCTATCTGATAATCCAGTCCAAAATGGGGACTGGAGATTTTGAGTTAGTAGATCTATAAAAGCTTGTTCGTATTCATCAAATACAGACACCAGATTAGCACCCTCTGTTTGACATGATGACTGAGCAGCGCTCCAAGTTCTGGACTGACTGACTAGTTTATAACATCTAGATCCATACGGCTCAAAACCAGGTTTACACAGTGTAGACGTTGGCGGTGATGCCGTGGGTAGTTTTAAATCTGGAAACATTTATATTTTTCAGTTATGCTAATAAATACATTCATATTAATCATGTACCACCAATTCAAACAAAAAGGCAACTCTGCATTCCAAAGCTAAGAATTATAAATAGAAGACATTACCTCGACTAGCCTGACACAGAAAAGGCCTGGCATCTCCACACTTCTGGTCGTTCCACTGTCCAACTCTTCCATCATCAAGCATTATTTCAACACAATCCTCCTATAAATATATAGATTAGTAATACACACTATAGTATGCAATTTGTTAGGATCTTCAAAATAATTGTGACACATTGTCAATTAAACTAAAAGACATATTACCGTTTTGGCGAATTTCGCAAGTCGTTGATAGGACTTGGAGTATACAGTTACACTGGTGGTGATGGTGGGGGCGGGGCAAAGCAAAATCAATCACATCACTATAATCTAGATGTTTATCTGTCAATTTTAAATTCGTGCAGTGGTTATCGCGTAGTTTAACGGAAGCTCGTGCAAAATGACACGACATTCTTTGTGTGTTAATCTTAGATTATTCTGACTATAATATCAAGATAGTTTGTAAGGATATTGTTTCTTACCCGTCTTAAACGACTATATGACCAATGGTCACTTGGTTCACCTTTAGCCCAGTTGGTGTATCTAACCTCACTATTATCTGACCACGTATATTGACCGTTAACGTGTATATCAAATAAACCAATCCATACTCCAGTTTTAACTGTATTTCTCAATAATGTCAGAGCAAATGCTGAAACAACAATATATATAACACAAATTAATCCACACAGAGGCGTGTTTCTGGAGTTTTTATATACCCACTGTAGACGTATTCTATCACCGTCTATCAAATATTGTACATATTAAGTTCCCTTTTGCCTTAGATCTTCTTGACGTCATCATTTTGTTTAACAAAGTATTTATATTATAAATTTTCGAAGAAAGGTCATGACAAATGATTTTATAGTGGTATGACATTACCTTGTTCAAAGTAATTACTGATACTAGCTATTTCTACGCCTGGTCCTATGGACCTACATGCATTCCTAGCACGTTCCCAATCAGTGGCACGGTCGTGTAAGCCTCCAACATGAAAACATTTGTTAGAATTATCTGAAACAAGACAACAAGACAAAAACAAAGTATCAGTAAATAACGTCTTTAAACCAGGACAGAACCAGTTACATACCACAAAACAGTCCTACAGTACACGTAAACTAGGTTATGGCAAAATCCAATCAGATAATAGTCTATCATATTTAGATCATTAAAGAACCTGCGAGAACTGTATGTATGTTATGTTACCATCGTCAAGCAGAATTAAAATAATCTTTACCTGAAAATGAAATCAGGGAAATTAATTAATGATTCATTCTCTATTATAACTTTGAAATTATGTACTTTAATGGTTAGTTTATACGTGCAGCATTTTCATTTTCAAGTCTTAATATATCTGACGGTAAATTGTGGGAATCGAATCTTACGGGAAAACTTCTATGTTTGTATATTCCGAAAACTTCAATAAAAGTTATACCGCAGACCATAACGATGATTCACTGTTACTGTGACGTCACTCACCAATCAAGAGAGAGAGAGAGAGAGAGAGAGAGAGAGAGAGAGAGAGAGAGAGAGATGGGGTTTAACGTCCACTCGACACAAACTAGGTCATTTCGGGACTAACACATGGTTCAATTTTATTTCAATTATTCGCTTGCGTGTATGGGTCTTTAGCAGTGGGAGGAAACCGGAGGACCCGGAGAAAATCCACGAAGATGGACAGGCGACCCTACTCCTTGTCACGTACAACTGGGGAATCGAAACCACGTCAGCTGACTCAATGACACAGCGCGCACGTGCTAACCATTCGGCCATCCAACCCCCCACTCACCAATCAAATCCATCGGAAAATTGGGAAATGTTTTAGAACGCCCCACACATAAACGGTAATATATCCAATACTTTTAATCAGATTGGTGAAAAGTGTATGTTAAACATTGGCTCTAAGTACATACCACTTTTATAGAATAATTTCATGTACTCCTCAACAACAGTTGATAGTTTTCCTGACGTGAAACTCCACTTTAGAAACTTTTGCGATGAGTAAGACTACAAAATCCATCTTTTTTTTAAAATTTTAACCCATGAGAAAATAAGCCCCAATAATTTAAAACGATTTATATACAATTTATGCCAATTTATGCTTGCGTTCCAAGAATATTGAAAACGTCATAGTTTTTTTTTTATCAAAGAAATTAGAAATCGCCATACCAGCTGCTTTAAAGTCATCAGGACAACCACCTAGTATTAATGGTGTTGGTGTTGTTGGTGGTGGAGTAGATGATTGATTCAACTTTTTACATATAAAACCAAATTTATCCATACAATTATCATCATTCCAATCACCTGCAATAAATGAAAACACCAATGCTTTAGGTTCTAAGATACAGAAAATACTTTGACGACAGGAAACGAAAATTATAGCCATATCATCATGTTTAATCAGCAAAAATTTAATGTGTCTATCTTTATATCCAGAAGGCGGATTCTGTTTGGGGAAGGGGGGGGGGGGGTGGATGGCTGAATGGTTAGCGTGCGCGCGCTGTATCATAATTGATTTTGTTTTAAATTGTCTAAAGTTTAAACTAAACATAGAACTGAAATAAGCAAATGTTGTTACTTCCGCTTTATCTACTGAATTGAAATAACAAATCAGATCAAACTGATTCTACACTTACATTTGACCTAATTCTTCACTCTATTTTCACCTTTAAAGTACCGATACATTAATCTGTGTCTTCAAACTACAGTACTACGCAGGGGCACTATATGTCTGCTTTTAAATACTTTACTTACATGGTTTTGTACAGAGATTGAAAGGTATAAAGCCGTCATGAAAAAGACTTTGGCAGTGATTCGCCAATTACGTCGTGCTTTCTATACACCTATAATGGACCAATTTTGTTTCAGTCTAAGCTCTGCGACTCGATTTTTTTTATATATGAAAGAAACTAATTATGAGTAATATGATCACTTACCCGTTAAACTATAAAAATTAACACATCTTTGACCCCCAAACGCATCATTAGGTTCGCCCTTTGTCCAGGATTTGTAAGAAACAACAGTCCCATCGGTCCATCTAAATGGAGAATAAGAAGAGTTGCATTTTAAAAATCAAAACATTCATAAAATGTCCTTAATACAAAATCTTAAAACATCAGTATCTTTAATAATTGATAATATGAGCAATATTGTAAAATCGTAAGAATTCAACTTACTTATATCCACCTTCTAAATCATTTAATCCAATCCAATATATACCAGATGATGACCGGGTTTTTATCTAGAGCGAAAGCAAAGATGAAGTTGATTATTCATTCATATTCAAATTTCCGATTCTGCGTACTTCGAAATGGTTTCCTGTCTCAAACTGTAATTTCTATTATAATATTGTACGGGACAAACAAGCGGCGTCATTATATAATACGAATCGTGTATCATCATGTGCATCAATCAATCATAAATAACCAAAATGCATAATAGATATATATACATAAACAAAACATACTATTGACAATATATAATCATCTTCATCAGGAGAGTGGATACTCATAAGATCACCACCATGTTGTTGACAATATCTTCTAGAATCGTACCAGGATTTTTTTGAATTCACCCCATAAGGTCTACTGGCATAATAACAGGAACCATTGAAATATGTCCAGCCACTATCAGCACATGCTATAGGAGCTAGAGATAAAATGTCATATAAGCGTTAAAGATGCATTATGTAAGATTTATATAACGAGATGACAGTTCTCGCTATAATAGTTAAAAAATAAAAAGGGAATATTGTCATTGTTACGATTATCCTTTTTTTATTATTAAATTTTTAACTGCCAATCGTGTTTAAATCAGTTGAACATCAAAATCATCCGATAGTCTAGATAGTTGATTATGGCCTTGGCATGTGAATATATGTCTAATTGATGATTTATATAACAATTGAGGACATACGAAAGATCTACATTAGGCAGATTTAGCTCTTACATAATGCACCTTTAATAGTATACGTAATTAAGGGTAATGGCAATGCTCACGCTGACTCCATTTAATTCATCACATTAACTTGAATACAAAAAACACAAAACTGTTTCAATTATTGTCAAATATATATGATATGATAAATAGTCATGGACACTTGACATGCTTTGAGAGTATGTTCACAGATGAAGACCTTATCGCCCCAACAGAACCACTGAGCTGCACATGCGACACGCAATAGCGCCATACACGTTGGAGGAGTTCATTGTCAAATTTGACACTTCAAGGAAGGGTTGATGAAAACTGCCGCTTGCTGGTTTATCCTATCCATGTTTGCTTTCCTATCGGTTCTTGCATAAGATTTACTGTTAAGCGTATCTTTGCTTTAGTGTGTTACGTTTAATTTGATCGGGAGACGTGTTCGTCAACGTCACCCGACAACACTGCAAGAATTGGCCGTGGCAATGCAAGAGGAGTGGGTCAGATTGCTCCAAATCGTGATTGGACGGTTGATTAGGAGCATGCCACGACGAATTGCTGAATGTCTAAGGATTGGTGGAGCAATTACTCATTATTAATACAAGAATCAAAAACGTCCATTTTCACTCTTGACAGTGTATCTCTTTGTGAGTGAACTGTGGCCGTCAGATAAACCGCCCATATGAACTGTTTATGTTCATGTATGGGCATTTGGCCTGTTATTAACATACACTGGTTACCTCTAATAAAAACAGCAGGGCATTTCCGCAGTTTTGTATTGTTTCTGAATACCCCCTACTTTTTTCAAGAGTACATGTATATAAGGTTCTTAAAATAATTATAATGTCTTATGTAAAAACATAGTCTTCGTATTACTGAATTGCAATATTGTGGAAGGCTATGTTATCGTATGAGTAAACCATAACAGCAAATCTTAAACTCTAATTTTAATTCTGATATGTTTAATGTTTGAAATACGATATAGTAATTAAACGTCCACAGACAACAAAATGAGGCCATCTTATAACAAATATATTCAAGTTTCAAGGTATATATTAAAGATACATTATGGGAGATTAACGAGCTGGCAGTTCTCACTATAATAGTTAAAAACTAGATAATGTAAAGGGAATTTACTAAAACAATTCAGTCAAATTGATCCACTCTAAACCAAGAATTTAGCGATTGAATTTAAGGCCTAGCCTCGATCAACATTATCGATGGTCATAGTCTCGATTATCCAGTTTTTTTATTTAATTCTCAATGAGCCTTAAGCAGCAGATCGGATTCCAATCCAGTAAATCTTGCAGGCTTGCGATGACATCGAAGGTTGATTATGGTCTGGATAAGTTAATAATGCATAATTAATAATTTAGATAACATTTCAGGCCTAAGGAAAGACCTGCAATAGGCCGATTTATCGTCAAATTAAATCTCATCTTGCTTGTAGACCCCCTTTCACTTAAGAATTACATATCCCCGTGTACTGTTATTCTAACAAACAGCAATTACTTATACAATATTTTCAAATAGTGACCTGGGTCACATAAACATTGTACGCACAGTCATGTTGTTTCGTAATTTATTTTTTCTAGTTAAATACAAAAAACTCTTATAACTGATTTTATAACGTATATTAATCTTATAATGCTTACTTGGAGTTGTCACTGGTAGAGATGGTGTTAGACTGATATTCATACCTGAAAATGTCATAAAACAAAATTCGGTTTATCAGACAGCAGTTTTCACCGATCATTAATGGTATAAATAGTGACAGATTTTGGTAGTATGTCCCTTAATTGACAAATATGATCAGTCAAGACAAGCTCTATGCTATAACAAAACGGTTCAATGTGTAGCCTAAAATACGACATCAGAAACAAAATTACATTCTTTTAATTGCAAACCACAGGAAACAAGTTGTCATTTACTGTTTATTACTGTTTATCTGCGCATGGCCCCCTTAAAGGGCTTAACCTGCTCATGGTGGCCTTTTAAACGTCCGCCTCCTCTTGGAAATGGCATGACATGTGCTGTGGTTTACCATCCTATTCTTCTGAAATCTGCACACAGACCTTTAAACATTTACCTCTACTGATCATACAGATGTAGTTATTTTTAATAAAACAACTATTATCATTCCATTTAGATGTCATTTGTGAGTACTCTACACAATCCTCCCGGCCATTTTGATCATTAGGTTCTGCCGAACCCCAACTTGTGAAATCAAGAGGTGTTCCATCTGACCATACCAATCCTGTAAAAGTAACATTATAATATAGTATTTATCAATCTGATTAAAATACAGATCTATATTTCGTTTCGTTTTTTTTATACTTTTGATGACCTCTACTCCATGAAGATCTGGCCGGTTGTACTGGAAGGTCGCGCCAGAGGTCATACGACCGGCCCTCGATCCTATGACGTCAGACATTTGATTAACAAATAAGCGTTAGTGTTTCTAGCGGGTTACTCACACTTCCGTGCACCTCACGCCAAAAACTCGTCGTAACAGACCTTTTCATCCAGACCGCTGGTTATATAACAACTCTTTCAGATCCTAGTGTAGTAAAGACAAGTAAAACGAAATTTTCAAAAATAAAATCGAAACGAAATAGAATCTGTGTTTTAATCAGATTGAGTATTTATAAGAGACAATACAATTGCAATGCGAGTTAATCGAATGTGTTGTACACCGGATTCCAGGCCAACTTCTTCGAATCTCATTCCATTGTTATACATGTATAGACAATACAGTGAATCACAATATTAACTACGTGAACCCACCATAAGACGACATCTCTCTCACAAACAAGAACAGTTTTATCAGAAGTACTATACATTTATTATCATTTCTATTGCAGATGGAAAAAATATTTAATTTTATTTAATTTTAAACATAGTTCATACTGTACCCCCATCTCTTTTGTTTAGAAGAATTGCAACGCTGACTTTATTAAAGAATTTAGATTTTGAAAACAGTCAATGCTCTGAAATTCTGAAACTCAACTCGAAGAAATCTTCTGCCGTATGGGTTGGATTTATTGTGTCTTTTGCTTTATGACATTTTTGTCGAAGATTGCCTCTTACTATTTATTGTGGGGAGAGTATTTAAATTTATGGACAATTTGATAACTTCAACACAGTTTTTGGATTAAATAGCTGCCTTTTTTGACCGAGTTCTTGTTCTGAATTCCACGGAAAAAATTTATCATACGAAGGACAGGAGAGAAAAACCCATAGACACAAATATTTGCCTATAACACATATGGGACGTTCTTTTAATTCCAAACATTTCGAGAACTAATGACAAAATACTTACTGCCCTCTGTACCTCGGTCATTTAAACCAATCCAATAGGTAGCACGATATAGATATCTATAACAGAATACACATGTTTAATCATGGCAGAATGTACAATCAACACTGCGTTGATTAAAAATCACTTTGTCTAAAACGTATTCAAATCGATTAATTCCATCTTCAGTTATAGCCAATCATTATGTGTATTTATTTCATACATATCAGAGCTGTTCTAGACAAATTAAGTAATAATAATTTATTATCCCTTTCAGTACTCTCCACGAAGACTTTTTATATCTGCACTTGATAATAGACCTAATAGTACTGATTTTGACTTTGGAGATAAATTTGAAGAGAAAAAAAATCTCCTTGAAGATCCTCAACAATTAGATCAATACTCAGGATGTACACTTGAGTAGCGAAATGAAATGGGGTTTTATATGTCCTACTGTTCTGCTCCGACTGTATATAAGTACATGTATAAGTCCTGCACGTATATATAGATATGTAAGTGCATGTAGAATTGTTGTACGTTTATATAGATATGTAAGGACATATATAATTTATATAGAGGATTATATTAAAATTGGATGTTCACAAGCTATTGAAATTCCTACTGAGATGGGCTGGTTGACCACGAGTGTGGTTTAAATTATAAGGATTGTCCAATTACGAGGTTATGGTTCCAAGAAAGTGTAGGTTTGTCTCGGTGTCCTTCGGTTTCACTTCACTGGGGCCACGGTAGTGAGACATTCGAATGGGTCAAAAAGCCAACGTCCGTTCATTTACTGGTTGATGTACACCTAAAGAACCCCTGACAGTTATAATTTAACTCTGTGGAAATACTGCTGTATGGCGCATTCCCGTCTTAATTAGCCCAGTCGGAGCAGAACAGTAAGGCGTTAAACTTCATTTCATTTTATTTTTCTAAATCTTCATACTTCTGATTGCATTTATGAGATCTAATGGTAGAGGACACTCACCTATTTAAACTAGCTTTGATAACAGCCTGTGCTGAAGCGTTATGGATACTGGCAAGATCTGCTCCCATGTTAAGACAAGCCTGTTGGGCATCAATCCAAGTACGTTTATTTGTGTATGCCTAAAATATTAAAATGTCAATATGAAATATTAATTAAACAATATTTAAGACTACAGATAAACAATTCACCAAAATCAATAAAATCCACAACAGACTCCTCCATATAATTAAATATTGATTTTACTTGGTAAGATATTGTGACTTTAAAACCAAATTCATTATCTAAACTAAGAATCTATATATACCTTGTAGCAACTGTCCATGTATTCTACCCAGCCAGTCGGACACGCTACATGTTCTGTGGTGGTTGGTAGTGTTGTAATCGGTGGTGTCGTGTAACCTTCCCTTAACATCTGGCAAATAGATGGATTCATATCGCTGCAGTTGACATTAGCCCACAACCCAACTGGTCTACTTGTATTCATGGCTACACATGTAGTGTTTTCATTTCCTAAAATAAACCAAATATGCATTTGAGAATTAACAATAATACGGTTTGACATCAGTGATATAACTGGTTTGATATAATTGATATGGTGTATGCCACTGGTTTGGTAGCAGGGATCTGACTCTGGTTTGATAGCAGTGATAAGCCTTGTTTTGATAGCAGTTGTGGGACTTTGATAGCACGGGTAGAAGACCGGTTTCATATAGCAGTGATGTGACGCTGGTTTGATAGCAGGGATAGGACGCTGGTTTAATGGCCGTGGTAGGAAATAGAAGATATACGATTCTGGTGTGATAGCAGTGATATGACTTTGGTTTGGTAGCAGTAATAGGACATGGGTTTAATAGCTGTGATAAGCCACGATGTTGCTCTAACATGCAATTTAAGATGCAACTAAAGCGTGAAAATTAAATAATTATTGATAATGATAGTAAATATACAAACATGTTTCAAACGTATATTCAGAACAGCCGGAAATTACAGAAATATGTCGAGGAATGCCGATAAGTTAGTACCAACAGATCTGTCTCGCTTTTAGCTGCGTTCAATTTACAACGCTCGTGAACATTTGGTTCACGATGACATTACCAAGTATTGAAAATTGTTTTGGCAAAGCAGGTAAATTTAAAGATCATATTATCAATATATTATTTTACAAGTACGGGCATCACTCAACAACATCTCGAGAGAAATAACTATTAAACACAGAAACAAAATGTTACCGGTGTGTGCACTTTCCCATGACGTATATAGTAGGCTGTCCTGACTAGTCCATTGATAGGTTCCTGGATTAGATCTATCCGATAAACCTATCCAATATACACCATCTCTGTTGATTAATTCCGCTGACAGGAAGGCTTGAATAAATCTAAAAAAAAAACAATCTGGATAAATTATTGTCATATCCTTTATTATCATATTATCTTATCTCATCTTAACGGATTATCCACAATGATACATTTATTATTTAACGTTTTATGAAGAAAATAAAACCAATTATTAACAGTAGAACATGTCCCGGCTTGGATTCAATCGGATTAAAAAGAAGCCCATTAATAGAGTTCCCCAAACACTTACAGGTTGCACTGCCATGTTTATACCGTCTGCGGAGAGTGTCGAATGTTGCAAAATTTTCTGTTTAAGTACTGAACAGAAATGAACAATTTTATCACAATATTGCAGTTTACAAAATCTCTTAAATGATGATCATAGATCATGATCATCTTCTTGCTATAAGCAAACTCGAAAATGATCTCATACAAATATGCAATAACAAGTTGTGGCTATGAGAAAAAATATTAAAAAGTGGTGTCAGATGTTTTAGAAATACCCTGACGTTTGTAGACACCCACCACTACTGATATAGACTGAGAACTATTCATTTACCTGTCGTTAACTGTGGCTAAGTGACCATTTAATTTAACACAGTTAGCTTCAGCAGCATCAAAATCTAATTTGGTTTGGACGAAGCTGTAGCAACGTGAATTATAGCCTACAGAATTCTTAAAAACAATAAAACTCAGATTAAAGGTAAATGTGGAGATATATTCGTCACTTGTAGCTTCTATTGCAGAAATTCAGAGTTTATACTTGCAACTAATTAATCAAATATATAGAGCAAAGAGATATATGATAAATATCTATATACCTTAGGGCAGCCAATAGAAAGTGGATTGGAAGTAGCAGTGTCCTGGATAGATTTCTTCGTTTTACAAACAAAACCATTTAAGGTGACATCACAGCTATCATCACTCCACTTCCCAGCACTTACTGCTTTCTGCAAGTATTACTAATGTGTATCAGTTTAAAAAAACAAGTTTTTGAATTCTAATAATAATGTTATTCAAAATATGTATATGTCGCAAAAATTAACCCTGCACTCTGTGCTAAAGGATTTAAATCAGTAGTCTGTGTATTATCAGATATGTACCAGGTGGCGCAGCAGCACAACCCATCTTCTTGTCAATATCTAGGTTCAGAGGTACATTTGTAAAATTTGACATTTGATACATGCCAGGAAGGTAAAATTCACGAATTAAAACAAACCACGAATTGATAGTTGTATATTGATAGTTGTATGTTAATAACAGACTAATTGCCTACACATGGGAGACTTATCTGACGTCCCCATTTCACTAGCAAAGAGAGAGAGAGAGAGAAATGGGGTTTAACGTCCACTCGACACAAACTAGGTCATTTCGGGACTAACATATGGTTTAATTTTATTTACATAATTCGCTTGCGCGTAGGGGTCTTTAGCAGTGGGAGGAAACCGGAGGACCCGGAGAAAACCCACTAGCAAAGAGATACACTGTCAAAAGTGAAAATGGACGTTTTTGATTTTTGTCTTAATAATGAGTAATTGCTCCATCAATCCTCAGACATTCAGCAATTCGTCGTGACATGCTCCTAATCAACCGTCCAATCACGATTTGGGGCAATCTGACCCACACCTCTTGCAGTGCCAAGGCTAATTCTTGCAGTGTTGTCGGTTGACGTTGACGTCAACGAACACGTCTCCCGATCAAATTAAATTTAACACACTAAAGCAAAGATACGCTAAACAGTAAATCTTATGCAAGAACCGATAGGAAAGCAAACATGGATAGGATAAACCAGCAAGCGGCAGTTTTCATCAACCCTTCCTTGAAGTGTCAAATTTGACAATGAATCCCTCCCACGTGTATGGAGCTATTGCGTGTCGCACATGCAGTTCAGTAGTTCTGTTGGGGCGATAAGTTCTTCATCTGTGAAAATATTCTCAAAGCATGTCAAGTGTCCATGACTATTTATCATATCACAACCTGCATAGGTATTTGCATTTCAATATCCCCTACTTTTTTGAAGAGTATATGAAATAAGAGGAGGGGAAGCTAGTTACTACCGAGTCTTAATTTCAAGACACAAATCCGATTCCCACTTCCAGGGAGCAGCAACTGTGGAGGTATCAATGACAATGAACGTATTGCCTAGTCGTTCGCATGGGACGACAAACCGCGGTCCAGCTAAACAACATTGTCGTGTACGAAAAATAAACACCTTTTGGCAGTTGGAAATAGATCAAAAGGAGGCGGTAACAATGGCATTGCACACATGGACATATCCATAGAAAAACATTATGGTATGTTAGTCAGAAAATGATCTCAAAGTACCACGTTAAACAGATTTTTGACTATAATTGTATAAACAAAGCATAATATAAAACAATATGCTATGTATATTACAATAGATCAACCTACTTGTGTGAACATTTTGACACAGACTTTATTCTTGCCGGCATAGTTATTTGGTTCTCGAACATCCCAGGTCGTGTATGTAACAGGAGATCCATCACTCCATGAAAACGTCATATGAACATCCCGATCATTGAGACCTATCCAAACGGCATCGTATTCACCTAGAATAACAACATATCAATTTAAACACCGTATCTTAGCTACGTTGGCTACCGAAATAAAATTGAGCTTAGCGTGTATTTAGATGCGACAAGAGTTAAACAATATAGAGGTCATTATTAACCAAACCATTATCTGTTTTTTTTTCTCAGTGAATATTATTATACATTTTGGCGACATACCTCCATCACACATGCTACAGGACTGCATACATTGTTTTAACATATACAATGGATTAATGGTACATTCTCCTCTGTGAGCCCAATTTTCACACTGCCTTCCAATCTTATTTTTGTTCTCACATTTTCTATAACATAGCCCACAGGCTGATCTGCAGTTTTTGCCCATCCATAATGGATTCTTGGAACATTCTCCATCGTCCGTCCATTGAGTGCACTGGGTATCATTGGTATGGATATTTTCACAAACAACTTGGAAAAGAAAAAAGAAAAAATAGTTATGAATGAAATGAAGCGAGGTTTAACGTCCTACTGTTCTGCGCCAACCGCGCCAATGGAGATGGGTAAAGAATTATGACGATTGGCGGAAAAAAGAACAGAACATTTTAATAATATTATATTCAATATGCTCTGCACAAACACTGGTATTCTCAGATCAAGAAACTCGATTAATTTTATTGTGCTTTCCTCAGACACTCTAGAATCTGGATACTTATCACGACGACACGTCAAATCCTCCATAATAACGTAATACCTGTATACTAGATTTAATGGAAAGTTTCGCTTACCTTCTGGCGTTTCACTAAATATAAAATTATTCTCCTCTCTACTACCGATACTAGCTAAATCTCCACCATTTTGTCTACAATAATCTCTAGCTTGTAGCCAGGTGTTGGAGGTTCTAACCACTAAATAACAATTACTAGTGTAACTCTTCCACCCAGGATGACAACCATAATATTTTCCAGCTGAAAAACCCAGATCATCTTTAAATATAGATTAAATAATACAGTTCATTGATATGTTGCATACCCGAGACTGAAGTCGGTAATGACAGTTACGTACTTGTAAAATACATGTTTCGACCGTTAATATCCATATTTCTTTGTGCACTTTCATAATAATAAATCTTTTACATTTCTTAACCCAGCTCGATGTCTTTACATCGCGCGATGTTGGGTTGGCCTATTGACTACATGTGTAGTAGTAAGAGACAAAATATATTTTGTGCTGTATTAATTTAATGTTACAGCTGGATAGAATAGAATATAGCGATAAGGTGTCTCGTTCATCGTGTGGATCGAACAGACATGTGGTCAAAGATCTAGCTCCCCTACCGCCCCTTAGAATCTTCAAACGATTGTAAGCCATGCAATAACACTAGAAGATATTTTATTACCTGGAACAGACGGTGTTGGTGTTGGTTTTGGTGTAGTTGTAGCCACCATCGTCCTTCCTGTAAATATAATTATAGAGTGTTTTTACAGCCAAGTGTAACATCAATGATAAACACCTTAACATACAGATCCCTAGAGAGTTGGATTATAAGTCTTTTTACCAATGCGAAAATGCCTATACCTGTCTTTTGTTCGGCTCTAGCACATGTCTAAGTTTCACCCATAAGGTTTCACCGAATTAATTGCTATAGGGTCGAATAGCTTCATTTAAACAGGGCTGAATAATCATCACACTAGTAAAATATCGTCCATTTGGTTGAAAATTATTCAGCTATTTGAAAGAAGCAGCAGAAAATATCTAAAATTTCTAATTCGCAATGGAACAAAAGAACTTCAAGTAAGTAAATCTGGGTAGGCATTGCTCAATCAAAATAAATTTCAAAATTTGTTTGATATCAGTCAAGTAGTTTTGGTGAATTAGTAGTACTAAAAATTTCCCAATTAGTCAGTTTTAATTGCCTCCGCTCACCAAATGAAGAAATATGAATAATCACCACTTATGATACCCACAAACAACATAAACTTATACATCTATTTGTTTGAATGCCATCCAGCAGCTTGGAAGCCAAAATAGCCGAAAATTTGCCTTTCGCGTTCAACTCCCCGTTTCCTAGTTCTGATCGTCTACTTCATTTAAACAGCCCTCAATAAGCACCACAAAAGCAGCAAGCATGTAATTACCGGATTTGGTTTAACCATGAGAAGGGGTCAAAAATATAAAGCATGGACAATGGACAGGGTATGACAGAAGCCCGTTTAGGCCATTTACCCAATTAGCTACATGGGAGTATTACTAGTAAATAGATGTAAATAATATTGGTTTATCTTAGGTTTTGGTAGAAAAGAAACAGGACACTCAAATGAACGCCTTAAAAGATCTATTGTATTTTTTGTTAAGTGAAAGGTAAAAGAAAACCAACCCTCGATCCTATTTGAGAAAAGCTTATAACAGCAAACAAATGATTTTGTGTAAAATATGATTACCCATTTTTTTACATATATATCCATTTCTTTTGTTACAATTGTAATCATTCCATCTGGATGTAAAAATTAGCATGGCTCCACAATCTTCTTCACCACCATAATTATTAGGTTCGCCTAAAAATAACATGATACCACTCTCATTTTGAATTGTTACAATTACCAAAATATACCATTTAGAGTTACTGTCGTTGGTACTCAGTGGCAAGAGCTATGCCAGCGGAGCTAACAGGTAGGGTATACATTGGTATTCACGTAAACGAACACTAGGCTGTTGTAATTCGATGAAAGTAGGCGGGAAATACTCATGTCCGGGTAAAACTTTCACCAAGCATTGAATACGTGACCATAGGAAAGACATTTTAAACTTAATTATATTTTATGCCGTAATCAATATTTGACATAGCTTTTGTGGCAAAACATCATACATTGTTTAGAAACCCGAATGGGTATTCAAAAACAAAAAATAAATTGATTTCAATGACCAAAGGTGTTTACCAGCATCCCAGTTGAGATAAGCTAACGGTGAGTCATCTTCCCAGTTCCATCCACCTTTTTGGCTACGATCACTTAAACCAATCCACATAGATATAATACTAGTAGTGCCTTTCATCCGACCTGTAAATATATATTAACAAATTTCAATTATGTTTTTCCTTTTTATTCTTGAAAATTGAAATTATACACAAAGTACCAGACTATAAAGACAGTGTTGCTGATTTTGAAAGTGGTGTTGTCAGATATGTATAATACTGTATAGTATTATTGTATATATTACTAGTAGGCTTATACGAGGGCTGGCTGAAAAGTTCAAAGCCTGTCTGTGAAAGACCTGTACAAAGTCAATGGTTTCCATTTATTTTTCTACAGCCACCCTAAAAAAGTCGCCCGCAGCTGACATGACGTCATCATTACTAGGAAAATAATGACCGGCTAGTTCCTTTTTCATTTTTGGAAGCTGGTGGAAGTCTGATGGGGCCAAATCGGGTGGGTAAGGTCAAAGAGTTCGAAGCCACAATCATGGATAGCTGACATGGCAATCACCGATCTATGAATAGGAGCATTGTCTTTGTGGAGCAGGACGCATTTAGTGAGCATTCCCCGTGGCTTAGCTTTGATAGCTTAACACATCTGTTCCAGTAGATCAGCACATCTACTTTAATTGATAGTCTGGCCTTTTTCAAGGTAGTCAATCGGCGAAATACCCTTGGAATCCTAAAAAACGGAAATCATCACCTCTCCAGCAGAAGGAACCGACTTGAATTTTTTGTAGGCTGCTGACTCTGGATGATTCCACTGTTTAGGCTGAATTTTGAATTCTAGTTGAAAGTAATGAATCCAGGTCTCATCCATGGTTACAAATCTGCGCAAAAAATTATCAGGATCTGCATCAAAACGGCGCAGATTGTCACAGGACGTCAGGAATCTGACACGTTTCTGATTCGCAGTCAAGAGCTTTGGCACCCATCTCATAGAAACTCTTGTCATTCCTCGTTGGCGATAAAGTGCTCAAGCCTCTCATGAGAGATGCCCACAACACTGGTAATATGTCGATTAGTCAGTCGTCGATCAGCCATCACTATGTCGTGCACCCAGGTAATGTTTTCTAGAATGGGTGCTGTTGGTGGCCTTCCAGGATGCTGGCCAACATCAAGGCTCTCTCTGCTACGCTCAAATTTCACAACCCACTTCTTTACTGTAGAGATGGAAGGGGCATCATCCGCTAAAGTGGAGACAATATCGGCATGTATCTGTGTTGAGGTTAGTCCTTCCAGTTGTCAATTTCAGGTGATTTCAATGGGTATGTTCAGAAGATGGTCTGTACTTGTTGGTGGCAAAAGTTTGATTACAATACTGTATACTACGTATTACTTACTACGAATGCTGAATAGATGCAATAGACATATCAGGTGCCCTATCTTAATATAGCCCACCATGCATAGATTATTTACCAAATATACAATATAGATTACATACCAGCTGTTATGTAATATGGTATAATTTGTGTATATGGATTACTTGCCAGTTGTATAAATTATATGATGTTATAGTGTAAGCAGTATAGACCAGTGATATGCAAGGTAACTCAATATAGGTTGTGTAGAATATAGATTACTTACCAGTTATATAATATTGTTCTTGTATAGATGTAATACTAGCTAATGTACCACCTTCATGTCTACATGAATCCGCAGCATCGGCCCAAGATAAAAGTTCTTTACGGAACTGATAGCAATAAGGAGAATGTGGATTATCCTCCCAAAACAATCCACATTTAGGGTTGAATATAGCTAAAATAACCAAATGTAAAATCTTTTTCCAAAACATCATCAAACAAGAGGAAAATACATTTTCACAGTTCTACTCAAATAAAAATCATTTTATTTCTTAATAACCTATGAACCCCTTTTTCATGTTGTTGCAATTGGTGTACTAATCAATGGAAAAATGCCACATTTCTATAACACCCCTTGCACAAAACTGACAAGAAGCTACATTCACACAGTTGTTATATATAGAATATAAAATTTAATTTTGGTGTGCATATGTATTAAAAGCTAATACAGCATTCTATAAGGCGTTAACTGGCGATGACTAAGGCATGCATGGCCGATGATCGCTAGTTGGAAGCGAGCTTGGTGATTACTAGATTTGGATACAAATTAGTACTAAGTGTAAGGCACGTTCCTGGATACAAATTAGTACTAAGTGTACAAATTTTCTAATATGTGCTGCATGTCACGACGAAATCGTTGCGCTTCTGACAGTTGTTAAAATCCCTTGCGGTCTCTTGTTGCGTTGCATAAATGCGACCCTATAGGCCCTTTATTATTGTACGGTTTCCTCCCACTGCTAAAGGCCCCTGAATGATTAATAACTTACAAGCCATAGTTGGAGCTGGTGTTGAGATTTTAGATTGCCCTGAAAAGAAACGTAACTTTCATATGAAGAACAGCTATATGCGATAAATTTTATTTTTAAAACCGCAGTAAATGAGTTGCTTCAAAACCTAGTTTCAATGATATGAAGTTATATTACATAGTTGTTCTAGGTTGAGTAAATAAAGAATGAAAACTTACTTGCTGGTTTTTGGCATATAAAGTTTAATTTTTTGGAACAGTCAAAATCTAACCATCGTCCAGTAAATCGTGCGCCTTGTAAGTAAACACAATTTTCTGAATTATTCACATTATTTGGCTGCCCTGTTCCCCAAAAGGTGTAGTTTAGCTGCAAAACAAATGTTTTCATTTTTATAAAACAGTTCAAGAGGATTACAAATCAGAATGGGTGTAGGTATGAATTCCAAATCCGAGGCAATATGCCTTTCGCCATAGAAGGACAAGCTTACATTTTATTTTTTTACAGCAACTCTTGAAAGCTGTAATCTAAATGTATGTATTTGTTTTTATTTTCATTGTACAGCAGGGGTGCGAAATTAATAGTGATATACCCCACCAGCAGTAATTCCAAAAAGCGAATCCGTTGGTATTGATAATTGAACGCTTCGGCTATAACCAACTTTCCGTAATATACTAATGCAATATTAGTGGCGGTACCATTCAAGATAATTAAGTTTGTTAACTATGTATGTGAATTCTGAACTGTCGCAAGTTAAGATAAATACACTTTTTGTTGGCTTAAACAATGGAATTATTTGATTACCACTTCGTATTGTTGTTACGAAAATGATCTTGTTAGAAATTACAATGTGTGGTATATCTTACCTGGGTATTATCATCTAGCCATGTAAAGTTTCCTTCTGATATTCTATCATTCAGCCCAATCCAATAATTACCCCTTTGTTTTTCTACTTGATCTGTAAATAAACTAGACTATTAAAATCATATTACCACAATGATTGAAAAGTCTGAACAAGCAGTCCTCTAGGCGCTAACTTACTGGAATTTGGGTGACTAAGTGGTTTGATTATAAAACTTGTTATCTATGCAGGCGATTGACTTGATTTGATCCCAGGCTTGTATACGGGTCAATACTTCATTCGACATTTGGGTACAACAATATGACCACAAAGACAATAATAATATAGTACACATTTTTGATGCATGATAATAACACTCCCACTATCAAATCAAAGTTTTAAAAGAAATGTCTTGTGAATAAAACTAAAAGAGGCCTACCTAACATAAATGATTGTGTTGAGCTATCCATTATACGAGCTAAATCACCACCAGAATCGCTGCAAGATTTCCGCGAATCTAACCATGAAGAATCTGTATCATTGAACTGATAACAATAACTCGAGTACAGAATCCAACCGCCTTCACAAGAAAGTGGTTCTGAAATATGTAAAACAGGAATTTAGTTTACCATATACCATATTATAGGGGAACATACAAATATTCTTTACAACTTGGAAAGATTCACAAGAAGAACTACTGAAAGATACAAAGCTATTATTTCATTATATTACACTATATAGGGGAATCATGAACTAAATGCATATTGAGTAGGGGTACCTGTCAAGGTAGCGAGCCAAAATGGGGTTTCTCTGAGAAAATGTTATTAAACTGATAATCGTATAATATTGATAATTATTGAGGGCCATATAATATAAGAGTATGTTACTTCAATGTAAAACATTTTCCCATTTCTAAACCAAACATGGTACTAGTATGTGTATCTATGAAGTAACAATACGCGAGGTTTTATAGTCTATATTCATTAGTCAACATTAGAACCTATAGAACTTATAATTGCAATTATAGAGTTGATATAACACGTATTTTTGTTTAATGGTCTAATCCCAATTAACCAATGCATTCAAGAATTACCTGGTGGCAATGTAGCTTTTTTGACAGGTTGATTAACAGGTATTTGGCAAACAAATGGTTTCACCTGTGTGCAGTCACTGGTAATCTGCCATTTACCATTTACATCACCTAGTTAAAGTATATAAATAAAATTAGAATTAGGATTAACGCAATGTATCATTTAACTATGCCTACAGATGATATTTAATAACTTTCTTTGTCTTCGATAAAAAAAAACAACGTTCAAAATGTGATTGACAAAAGACTGGATTTTCTTTTAGGGAAACTGCTGAATATATGACAATGAGATAATATAACAATATACACAGCACATTACGGTGGGAATTTGTTATAAAAATATTGCCTTATTGAAATGGAATCCGTGGTGGATCGCTTGCCTGGGGGTCGCTGGTTCGCTACCGGTGTTGGCCGAGAAATTCATCGGATTTTCCGGCGTGATCTCCACTTGTCAGTGGTACAAAACGGAGGGCCTGACAAGGACTGCTCTCTAGTTGTTCGGATGGGACCAAACACCGAGGTCCTGTGTACACATTGGCGTGAACGTAAAAGATCCCATGGCAGTTGAAATTCGATATAAGAGTAGGCCTTGGCGCCGATGTACCGGCAAACTTTCCCTCATAACACACTGTACGGCGTATGCCTGTCTTCATTAGCCCAGTCGGAGCAGAACAGTAGGACGTTAAATTCCATTTCATTTCATTTCATTTCTTATTGAAATGTTATCAACAACATAATTAATTCATGTAAACTGGACCCTAATTTCACCAACCACGTTTGACAATAAATATCGGTGTGGATAAGGGTAACTAATTAATGTAGTTACCTCGATTAACCAGACAAATCGATTTTGTTCTTCGAGTTGTGGCTAAATGTGCGCGACTGGGCGTGGCGGAGGAAGAGCTGTGCCAGGTTACTATCCCTTGGATCCAGGTCTTTTTTGAATAAATTCATTACATAATCAAGCCCAAATCGACCCATGACGTAGATGGAAAATTTAGCAAAATAAATAAAAAAATTACCCGTATCAATAAAGGTACAAGCGTTAGTTGATGCATTTGCTTTTATAGGTTTTGCAAGCCAATTACTGAATTTTCCTAAAGGTTTACCATCACCCCATGTAAACACTCCATTTTTGTTGATATCTATAATAATAAACAATGGATCATCCAGTGTAGCAAAGGATTGTTAGACTAGGTAGTAATAAATAAAATAAAACCAAGTACGAACAATCCAAACCATAAGACAGAATTCGAAGTCCTAAAAAACGTTCTAGGCAAAATAGTGAATTCAAGCAAAATAGTGTAATCAGCAAATGGACTGCTCCTCGTGTACAAAATACACGACAAACAGTGGTAACAGGTGTCCGAAAGAGTAAGCTTACCCTGCCGCCATAGCTGCATCCAAACTATTAGGCGAAATGTCGGTAAAATAGCGTGATTGGCCAATGAACTATCGGTATGCAAAATGCACGCGATGAACTGTGTTAACGATGTAGTAGACATTATCAGGGAGATAGTAATAGTATACGTGTCAATTAAATATATCTAGAATAATAGCCGAGAGAGACACGTTATATTTACCAATCAAATCAATATGACGGCCATAAAACTTTTTGAAGGTTTTAATAAGTTTAGTGCGCAAGTATCCTTGTAGTTAAAGCTTAGATGACAAATGCCTCGATCTACTTAAAAAATCAGAATAAAAGGAACAAGCTCTCGCGTAACGAATTAGCTGAGACACAAACACTCCATAAGCTGGTGATATTGGAATGTTACTACTAATAAATGGAAAGTAAGTAATGTTGTGATCCTTAGGTGGAAGACGTTTCACATGTATGTCCGTTAAACATTTCTTTGGCATTTTCAATGCCGAATAATAATATTCTAGAGTGGCTATATCTTTTCAATTATCTCAAGAATTACATTTTAAAATAAAATACTATTAAAGCCTATCCTGAAACCAATTCCCTAAAAGGCTTTCATATTGGACATGATTTAGAATACAATATAAATAACATGAAGACGTATTTATACCTATTACACCTAACCATATACCAGCTGATCCTCGTGGAAAATCATCTAGAACATTGGCCACTATAAACAGCTGATCAGATACCCTACAATTGAAATTAAGTAAAGAATAAATTGTTTCTATTACAACAAAATATTTCAAATTACAGAAGTTTATTGTTGAAATGTTATTTATAATTTTTAGCCCTTTTGAAATGTAACGAGTTATCACAGCGTTATCAACCAAAATACCCAAAAACAAACCCCTCCAACTTCAGAGAACATCACCTACATCATGTTCCTGTAAGATATGGAATAGTGCGAATTGTATTTAAACAAAGTTTCTCGAAAATTGTCATAAACATGTTTAGATTATAATAACACGAGGTGCTTCATTTACAAATTTTAATCAGCAAATATCATATTTACTTACGATTCTATCTTGAGTAAATTACCACCTTGAGCTTTACAATATATATTAGCTGCATTCCATGATGAAGTAATAAGACTATTCAACTGATAACAATTCTTCTGATGTATCAACCAACCATCTTCACAAACACCTAGTTAAATAACCACAAATAATAATACAATGATTAGTCAAAAAACACCTAGTAATACATAGATAGAACTCAATGACCATTGAATACCGCTCAGGTTATTTAATGGTTCAAGAGAGTGTATCCCTGCGCAAGTATTCCACGAGCGATAGGCCTAGCGAGTGGAATGCGGCAGGGATACACTCGAGTGAACCATTGAAAGCCGTTCCATAGTAAACATACCCATAATGTTGAACAGGTGGAACTATTATAAGTAATTGGCGGTTAGAGGGGTGTGTTGGTAAATGAATCACTACAGTTTGAGCAAAATCAAAGAGATCCAAATCCTTTGGTTGGAGACTACTTATATGCAGATAGAGTTAGATAAATTACCTTGCGGTTTCTCACAAACAAATCCCTTTTCATCGGCACAGTTATTGGTTGACCAGGACAGTCTTCGTTTTATCTTTGGATCAACCACTTCTAATTGAACACATGTCTGGTTTGCGTTCCTATAGATATAAAACCTCATATTTTGGTCAATTTAGATATTTTTGTTGGATAAACAAACAATGTGAAAATTAGCTTTAAAACTTTTGCAAAACCTTTTATAAGTATAATTGCCTGATTATTTTCATTCTCTGGCAAGGATATTGTTTCCACAATCTATAGATTTTACAACCATACTTTCATCATGTTGTTTGTACAATATCATGAGAAAACAACTGTATTTATGCAAACAGAACTGAAGATGCCAAGAGAATGCTTTGTGTCTTATAATCCATACCTTTTTGAAACAGTTCAGTTTGAATGTTTTGTGACTTAAAGTACATTCTGGACTAATCTATAAAATACTTTCTTTCTTTTGTATTAGATCTTTGATTAAAATGCTACGACTTGTATAACTTACGGTATGAGAGCTTGACTTTTTGTGTCATCTTTCCAGTACACATGGTCATTTTCTAGAGCTGTCCCCTTCGTCCACATCCATTTAACTGGCTTTCTCTAATAAACAAATAATACCCGCATTTTAATCAAGAAATTGTTAGTGTAGCATAATAAATATATATAGTTTAGGTGTATTGCTGCGGATGCCTGTCCCGATTCTAAGGGATGGTTTAATATCTTTTAAAGAGAGAAAGAAATGCTTTTAATTCTACAATTCGCTGTACACACGGAGGTGACAGGAACCCGAGTACTCTGAGAAAACCAACAAGGTTAGGTGCAAAACTAGGGTCTTATAAGTCTAGGTATGGTACGTTTTAAGAGCTGCAAAAGGTACGTTTTCCAGCCATCTTGCCAGTAAAACTATTTTAACAGATTCTAGTTGAAACAATTTCTTCTGAAAGCTGAATTAAGCGGATTGAACCGTTTCTTGTATAGTACAAGAATGTATTGAAACCTTAAAAAATCTGAAGGACCAGTCAACTTTGCTCCCTGTATTTTATGAACAGAATTTTAGCCTGAGATTAAGAAATATGGTTATCCCCCATAATATTGGTATCCATGAGCTACACCCAAAATTATTAGACCCTCAGAAAAAACATCAGAAAAATAAAATAATGGAAATTGTAACTAAATTAGAATGTGGTATGCATCGACAGGGTTAAACAAAACCAACTGATCAAGCCAAACTAAACAGGCAAATTATAAATTAGCTGACAATCGCAAACAAATAAAGACTGGATTTCCATTTCATTGGCTCTGTCGATATATTATGCTAATTATGTAAATTAGAAGAATCTACTTTGCCTTAGGGAAAACACAAAGGTGGGTGGTTTAAATGTTCAGTCTTACGACTTGCTATATAAATAACTTAATAGTTTCAGTTTACCTGTGAAGTTGTAGATAGTCCAAACCATGTATTACCACCACTGTTTTTAGCCAGACCCCAGAGAAAGGATTGTGTATTGTCATCAGGTGCACTGGCTAATTCTCCATCATTAAGGTTACATTGGTTACTAGAATAAAGATTTCATTTCATAAAAGGAATCATTGCTAACAACGAAAAATATAAGACAGAATCTCAATATTACGACCATTTAAAGAAGATACTTACTTTGCATCTGTGAAAGTGCGTTTACCATTAAACATTTTATAACATTTATTATTGAGTCCAGTCCAACCATCATCTATTTCACAACTTAACGGAACATCTGTAATAATTAATGAATGAAATGAAAGTGGTTTTACATCTTACTTTCCTGTACCGATCGGGTAAATGCAGCGGCGGTACGGTCTAGTCTTATTTCAATTTCCAGTGGTATACAAGATCTCTCGTGTTTGTGCCATCCGAACAACTAGATAATTTCCTTGACATGCCCTCCGTCCTTCACCACTGACAAACAAAACTGTAAAATCCTGAGACACTTCCTTTTCCAACACCGGCATGGCACCCGAGATCCCCAGGCTAATGAGCTAGAGTCATATTCAACGAGCCTCCGTGGCTCCAAATAATTCATAAACTAAACTAACAGCATCTTACATTTCTCTTTGAGTTGCTTACGGTGTGTTTTACAGTATATTCAAGAAGACTTTCTACCACTTAAGTGTCTTTATCAAACATAGTAAATTACCTTTGGAGGAAAATAAGATTTTTGTCCCTAAAATAGTTGTAGCCATGAGAGTTTTCTTGCTGATTTGTGTTTTATTATGGTTTCGGAAAAAACAGAGTCGATACTAAAATTCTTTAAGTATTTATGTTATAAATTTTAGAACTCCCGTTTTAATATCAATATCAAATCCATTTACTATTGGAAAAAAACATGTATATTTTAATCCCTTTTTTTTCACTAATCAACACGTACCAAGATATTTTATTTTTTTCACAATTGTTTCTTAAAGGGGCCGAAGCCAACAGCATGTTATTTGCATAAAAACTCGGTTATATATCGACACCAATAGTATCTATAGCCGGGAACAATTTAAAGAAGACGGATTATCATCCCACAAAACAAATCGGTAAATAAATTTTCAAAGCTAAAGCGATCTGGTCATGTTTAAGTGACATAACAATGGGGATGAAAAACAGTAAAAAGTGTGAAACTGTATTGTTATTAAAATTACTAACCTCTTATATTAGTTACTTGCTGATTTTAGTTTCTCCGTTACAAACACTGAGTTACAACAGAATTACTGATTTTCTGTTTTTGCGGATGTTTTTCAAAATATGGCTTTGCCCAGAGGTCTTGTTACCTTTTGGAATTGGATGGAATTATTTCGTTGGTTAACATAGTATGATAGACAGACGGTTCTCCCCAGTTACAAATCGCAAGTCGTTGCTACCATATATATATAATCTCTCTGCACGGGGACTTGAGACGGTATGTCGGTTCATTAGGTGACGCTTAGGGGATGTTATGATGGAAAATCCCACCGAAGATTTGAACTGTGCCCCGTATAACCAGTCTTCGGAAGAAAAATGAAAAAACAATTGGGTCTGTAGTAAGTGCATTACCTTTGGATCTTTCACAAATGAAATGTCTCCAGTAGGTACATTTAACAATATCAAAAGACAGGTCCAAAATCCACCCACATGCCGTTAAATTATTCATTGTTGGTGTAACTGTTGGCCATTGGCTGTAATAAAAAATGTAGCAAATTTCTACTTTGCCATTCAATAAACTATTGTGGGAATGATGCTAAAATGGTGGTTATTTCCGATTTTGAAATAACAAGGAGACGTTGATTGTGATGATTCAGACTCGTCAACCCACTAATTGATTTCACCAAATCTCTTCCAGTCATTCGTCTGGATGTAAGATAAATAAAACATAGATACAGTTTAATGTCCTTTTTTTTCTAGCTCAGTCAATGTCTTCGAAATTAAAAAGTATAAAACGAAATTATCTGCACTTCGTCAACAAGACGAACCATGTAAATTAGTAGAAACAATGTGAGGCATAATTAATCACTGAATAATTCTATTTTAACTTACATTACAACAGAGTTTGGTGTTGAACCATCCTCCCATACCAGACCACGACCATCTTGTAGATCACTTATTCCTATCCACCATTCCTTAATATCAGGATATAACTTGTGTATTCGTCCAAGTGTCGTGATCAGCCATTCCTTTTTGTAAATTAAATAGATGATACTAATCGAAAAGATATTGTCCAAAAACCCATCAACTCATTCAAAATTTCTCATGGCTAGTATCCTTCCATTATTCAACATTTAATTAAGAAAACAAAATCCAAATACCAAAGCCATATATTCTTCCGGCTTGGACAATTTGGTTCACGCCAAAAATAGATGGCGATTGGCTTATTACATATAGGCAGCAGCACAGATCGGTTTGAATTTTCAACTCGCCCTATATTTATGTAAATATTGAACGGATGAACCATTTTAGGACTGCTATCCCAATTAGAGATTCAACTTTCACAATATTGTAGTTTACAAAAGATTCTATAGCGTTAGGGGGGTTGGATGGCCGAATTGTTAGCACGTGCGCGCTGTATCATACGGTCTGTCATTGAGTCAACTGGCGGGGTTTAGATTCCCCGGTTGTACGTGACAAGGAGTAGGGTCGCCTGTCCAACCTCGTGGGTTTTCTCCGGGTCCTCCGGTTTCCTCCCACTGCGCAAAGCAAATTATTGAAATAAAAAAAATGAACCATGTGTTAGTCCCGAAATGACCGAGTTTGTGTCGAGTGGACGTTAAACCCATCTCTCTCTCTCTCTCTCTCTCTTTCTCTCTCTCTCTCTCTCTCTCTCTCACACACACACACACACACACTCTCTCCCTCTCGCTCTCTCTCTCTCGCGTTAATATCGCACCGAGAGTCTTTAAGTAATCGAATTTGTTATAGATTTAGACAAATAGTCGTTGCAAGCTGTCTGATTTGCTGACAGATTCGTTTGACAATATTATTGTCGATGTAATGTACTCTTATAAAATTATATGTATATTTACAGTTATAAGTATAGTAAAAATACAATGCAGGATTTGTCAAATCACATGGTTTGTTAACTTACATTTAAAACGCTGTCGATGCATATGAATACAAGGCTTATGTAAAATTACATCAAATTTAATGTAGTAATACAACCAAATGTTAGTTTACATTATATGAGCTGTACATAAACAGAAATGCCGTTTGAAGTATTATTCCCCCCTTTGACTACTTATATCGAATTTTGTGAAAAATATTGCCTGTTTTGTCAGTCACTTTAGTCCATTTTAGAGAAATAGGTTATTCAAAATCTGAATGCATCGAACTGGCTAATAAAGACATGCATATGCTATAAATTGAGTTGTATGGGGCATTTTGCTTTGACGGTGTCATGCCACCTACTCTTCCATTGTAAGGAGCAGAACAGTAGCACATTAAACCCCATCTCATTTAATTTCTTTATTGTCTGCGATATCACCTCGGTGGAAGCGGCCGTAAAATACAACTAACTCACACAATTTCTTTACATTATCGAATGTTGTTTTACGTGCTCGGCTAAAAGTTCCGCAAAACTTTCTGTGTTCGCCAGGATAGAACCTAGGACTAATTAGCCAAGCGGGGACAAACACATTCCTTTTAGTAATGTTACCATGGCAAATTACATAATATATAATTCTACAATAGTTATGAGGTATTATTACATGAACTCTGTCAAAATATACAATATTCTTTTGTATTAAATGTTATTGTACAAATTTATGTAAATTAACATCATGATAATTTTACATGTACTCCATTTACAGATATGTAATTTTACTTGGGATGTATAACAGCTGGAGGTAAAGATACATTACAGACTGTGAAATAACATGCAATGTTAAAATACAGTTATAACGATGGCATTATTTCTGCCAGTTAAAAAAGGGTAAAAATACATAATAATGTTAAAATACAGTTATAACGATGGCATTATTTCTGCCAGTTAAAAAAGGGTAAAAATACATAATAATGCATAATAATTTAACAGTGATATACTTTACAAATTTCTTTGGAGATAAAATCCACAAAATAGATCCGATTTCGGCAGATAGAGGCGACAGTCTAGGCAGTTGTTTGGAAACCCCGTTGTCGTTTTCTTTCGATGTTTATTCCGTATTTTGTATTACCAGAACCAAACATTGGACAAGTTTGACTATTGTTTCGTATTCTTACTTGTGTAGTGCAAAAAGCAAATGTCCTTTCAGACAGCGCTCACTGATCTATTTAAAACCACACTAAAATCTTGTGTAAAACACAACTGACGACACCAATTGGAACATAATGTTAGATCTTAAGTAGTACCATAAAATGAAAGGAAATAAAAATATAATTTTAATTAGATTGTACCTTCTCTTCAACTGTTTCTATGATTACTAAGTGTCCTTGTAATGAATGACATCTTTCTTTAGCCAGTGACCAGGTATATGCCACACCATCGTGAGTAACAAGATAACAAGAGTTACTCCCCTCTCTGTTTAACCAACCATAAGGACATCTTTGAGATATTACTATTTAGATAGAAAAAAGGTGTAAAGTTGTAATATTGGTATAGTTCTAAATGCATACTTATCTATTGATACTACTCAATTTATCTCATACCTTGTACTATGAAAGGTAAAGAGGTAAGGTAGGCGAGACCGACATTTCCCACCACAGAACATTCCTGTACTCCAAAACCATTCAGATATCACGAATAAAGTATTCTTTATATAAAGAAACAAATCATGGTTTTTATTGAACATTTAATATAGACATGGACCTTATAACAAGGTCCATGATATAGATAATACTAATCATATAGTTAACTTTGGATCCATGAGAAGCCTGTAGAAATTTACACGATCTCGTTATTAAGCAAGAGTTTGATGTCAATTGTCTGTTTTTCTTCTAGAATGGACGATAATTGTTTCGGTACCCAATACCTAGATGTGATATCGAAACAGAACCACTGAAAAATTTAAATTTCGACCAGCACTATGATCTGGAAATACTACGTTTCAATTAAACCCACCCGTAAAATACAAATACCAAGCGGGTTGGAGCGTAACGTATAATACTGATAACTAAAGCACATGAATAAGATATATAAGATAAAGATGTAGAAACATGTTCTATAGATAACATATTATTGTAACATCAAGTACAAGTCTCCGTAAATCACTTGACTTATATGTTTTAATTAAATTGAGCTATCAATATTTTGTAATGAATTGTGTTTGGTGAAATACGTGAAAAGTCCAAATTGAACGACAGTCGTTTATACGTGCTTAGTCCAGTCGAGGTTTTTTGAGATCGTGTAAGCGAAATGAAATGAAATGGGGTTTAGTCTTACTGTTCGGCTCTGACTGGGCTACTGAAATGAAATGAAATGGGGTTTAATGTCCTACTGTTCTGCTCCGACTGGGCAATTGAGGGAAATTTTTCCCGGAGAGAGGCACTACGGCCTAGTTTTATTTCGAATGTTACGTGCACGCTCGCCAATGTGTACACAGGACCTCGGTACGTTGTCCGTCCAGCACCACTGAATAGGGGAGACCACGTCGGAGAATCCCGATTAACTTTCTCGGTCAACCATTGATCGAACACGAAACCTCCAATTTAGTGAGTCAACATCTTACTCACTGAGACACCGTGGTTCCCAACCAAGTAGGCGTCCACAAGATTCATAAAATAAATAACAATCATAATATGATATGAACTTTATATCAACCTCAATGAAACTACTTTCCGGCAAGATAACGATCGGCAAACAAATTATAGGCTACAACCAACGCCCTTCAGATCCACTCACAAAAATATTTAAAGCTCGGTATATTATATAATATATAATTATATCATCATTCTTCCACTCCACTGTGGTCTTATACTACCCTGACAAAACAGACAGAATTGACCAGCAGGTCTCTATAGATTCTGTTCCATTTCTGATCCTATCATCTGCAATAACTTGCTCCCAACAATGCCCTTAAATGCCAGGAAATCGACTCAAATACGATCTATGATCTACCGGGTTGTTCAGTGTTATAGACGGTACTTTTTTACATTTATTGTGAGGTGGGATTGTGGATGACTCCCTAGTTGTGGAGCCCCTCCCCATTCACAGCTTCTAGATCCGCTACTGGTTTAGTCCATTCTATATTCGTGTTTTTAATTTCGAATATTATAGAAAATATTGAGTTAGAGGTTTAGTTCTCTTACTTATCTATATCGATTTTAAGAAGTTTATCTTAAAATCACAAAAGCCAGAAAACATAAATGGATTTTATTTTATAAAGAAAAACAATCATAATGGTTATAACATTGGTCGGTATTGCTAAACATGACTTTAACAATATTTACATATTTAGCCTGTTATATATTAGATACTTTTCATTTATCTCCTTCTGTCTCTTTATGATGTAATAAAATTCTGACATATAATGTTGATATGATTTAAGCATTGAATAATTTGCGATGCGCCCACAATAATGTGTCGGGCCGGTCAGTCATCATTATGATGGCCACAATTGACTTTAATGTTAATTCTCGTCTTTTTGACCGTCTCTGGCTTTTCCCAAAATTTGACGCTTACTACAACTAATGTTTCTGAGATTGACGAATGGGAACCTTGAGATATACAAACTGGAAGCAGCATACTAGTAAACATGCAACAATCCGATCTACACTTCTTCTAGGTCATAACGTGGACATCCAAATGGTGACGATATAGTTCTGGGTAACAAATACTACTAAATTTAGAAGATAAGTAACATCACGACACCGGACACAATTAATTCCGACATCTGGTCATCAACGAATATAGTGCAAAGTTAGTGGAAGGATAACAGAGTTGAGTGGTTGCTTACGTTCACAAAATGCGACGATGACCTGTTCAACGTTCTCAATTTTTTGACCGATAACTAATTTGGCTTTCTAGATGAAATTAGAGTCTGGGTACTTTTCGGCAATTATTATTGGGAGATTGATTATATTACGTTTAATCACAGTTTAGTAGTAATATATATTTATCGACAATTATTGCTGTCGAGTTCTTCCCATATCCTTCCATCTTAAAACTGTCTTATTTTCCATCTTGAAAATTGTCTATTATTACATGCTTGATTTGTCTATTACCCCATCTTTGAATTGTTCTTGCTCCATCTGGGCAGCGTCTATTATTCCATCTGAGAACCGTCTATATTATACATTTGACACCCGGTCGCTTTTATCAAACACTGTCAAAGAAGGTGAAGAGACAACCATTTATGATTGTTTTTCATTAATTTATCAGCTTGCCTTGTATAATAATATAATTTCTTATGAAGGGATTTGTATGTCTTTCAACATAATTTGTCTATTTTGAGTAGCCACTTGTAAAATTATCGCGTGTTTAAATCGTCAATTAAAATTTTTGGTTATATAGTTTTAGAGATAAGTGTGTTGAAAGGATACGAACTTGACACCCACCGGATAACCTATTAAGTGTATGCTTCCACTTAATTAGTTTATTGTTATAAAGCTTATATAAGATAAAATAGTATCCACATACACAGCTATAACAAATATCAAAACATGTGTAAAATATTGTGTAATAAATGAATAAATAAATAAATAAATAAGTAATGAAAGCATTATGTGTATAAACTGATAGTGCATGTAAATCATCCCTGGTCGAATGAATTCGAGGAAGACAAGACTGAAGCGCCGCAGTCTATAGATACGTCTCAAAACTCGTAACTGTAGTATATTGATGACGAAACACAATTTCATTGCATTCCCTTTTATATTTCCTAAATTCAAAGAATGGTATAAATCTGAATTTAACACATACTTTGGTTTGAGACTAACATGTAATTACTATTTATGTGGTGGATGCGATGGATGAGGATTTGCCCGGACAGTTGCGTTTCCGCCTCTGCTTCCTCGACTTCCGACTATCAAAGTATATTTTACGTATACACTACCAAATTTGTACATGGGACCTGGGTTTTATCATCATATGCGAAAAAAAGGCATGCTAGAGACTCTTGGGTTTTTTTTAAATATGAGATATGGAAGGCAGACAGACAGAATATTACTTTTAATGCGTTAAGAATAGAATACACTCGTTCATTCCTAAATTCACCCCCTATCCATCCGATAACTACCCTTCATTTTAGTACACGTAAATAGTATTCGGCTTTTTAATTACGCTCTTGTAACTCTTCGCCCAGGGATGGGATGAAAAGGATCCCGTGGGTATAATAGGCTTGAGGAATCTCTATGAAGTTAAGGTTCTCACGTTTTAGTAAGATTGCACTTTGATGAAATTATCTGTTTGATGGTTTGAAGTTTCTGTGTGTTTGGTACTCAGGATATAATCTGGAAAGCACCATTTATAGTCAGTTTTTTCAAAAAAATCATCGCGCCTTCTGGGAGAGACACTACCTCTCCCCACCTCAAATAATCTTTAAGGTTTTGTAATGTTTCAATCGTTATCATGATTATTTCTACTGAATTGCAACAACATTACTCTGAGTTGGTTAATCCCAATTATTACTTTTAAATCACAATATTGTTCTGCCATAGCACCTAAATTGACATATTGCGATTAAATTATGATTATTTAGAGAATAAATAATCTGACCTTAGTTTTAGACAATTCTATACAGTGACTTACCACACGAGGGCAATAAAACAACCAATATTATTGCTGCTAAATATCCACTCATGGTCAGAGCACACCCAACTGTAACACGGTTTTAAACACTTATAATAATAACTGATAATAACTTATAGAAATTTTCTGAACGGAAGAGCATTAATATGACGATGAAGTGCTTGTATTAAATGTATTAATTATTTCATATTGTATCAAGTCAAAACCACACAGTCTTCATACTAATGATCGCATGAACAATATTTTATATTTATGGATAAGATTGCAAAGTCCAGAAATTATAGTTAAGATAAATGATTGCTTTATCTATAATTTTACTGGTTTATTCAAGATGTGACATTTTATCTATATTAGTGTAGGGGGGAACAAGCATTGCAATTTCATTATCTAACAAGGAGGTAAAAAAAACGTTACGAAGTTCAAAACTCGTTAAAACATGTTGATTTTACACAGATTTGTATGATATGTAATTTTTATCCGTTGGTCTCTTTGTTTTAAAAATAAATAAAAATTTCTACTATCGTTTGTAATAATAAAATGATTCGTTTTATTTTTAAATTGGCTGATTGACTCCCTCACCCTAATAATTATTCGGGGAAAATGCGTTTTTATGTACAGTACATAAGAACAATATTTGTCAGGGTCCATTCCTGATACAGTCAGGTCCACCTATATGCAGCCATAGATTTGACAATGTAAATGAAATGAAAATGGAATGATATGGGGTTAAACGTCCTACTGTTTTGCTCCAAGACATGACCATGTAATTTGTACGTGAAAACCTGCACAAACGCCAATCACACCCCAAGAACACGAGCTGATTTTCCCTGGACTTCTCGCATTCTCGCCCACGACTTCTAGCCCAGGAAGTTCAGTTCGTACGCATATTGACTAACTATCATCATCAGCACAATCATACCCAAACCCGTAAAAATCTACCCATATCATATCTAATTATCACCAAATGTCTTTATTTCAACGTGTTATATTTTTTAATAGAAAATATAGTTTTATAGACAAAAATAACCTTGTTGGGGACAGATCACGGTTATTTAAATTAAGGCATATAGTTTATCAAACAAGCTACTTTTCTGCACCATACGGCCAAAGTGTCGTGGATTCGTCCATGACGTGCACGTCAACAGGATTTTGTTTTGGCCATTTCATAAAATGTATACGGATATTACCATCGCCCCTGTCTGCGCACGCGCGCGCGTGTGTGTGTGTGTGTGTGTGTGTGTGCGTGTATGTGTCTGTGTGTCGCCTACAGGCCACAATTTTTAAGTGATCATCTTGAAACTTTACATACTTATTCCTTATATTTAATTTCTTGTATTTAATTTTTTGTCATCTACAGGCCGCATTTCTTAACGTATCATCTTGAAACTTTGCATACTTATTTTGTTTTGTACCTCAAGGATCATGCCTATCGTTTGTGGTACATGCCCAACCCCCAGGGGCAGAGCCACGCCCATTTTCGTTTTGTGTGTCTGTGTGTCGCCTACAGGCCACAATTCTTAATCGATTGTCTTGAAAAATTTTCATATGGATCATCCCTATTGTTTTTTGGTGCATGCCCGACCTCCAGTGACAGAGCCACGCCCATTTCTGAATGGATCAGCTTGGAACTTGGCATATGTATTCCTTAAAGCCTAAGGGCGTAAACTATTGATTTTGGTGAATGCCCCGACACCCAGAGGCAGAGCCATGCCCAGTTTTTGCCTTTAGCACCCGAAGGCCACAAATTTGAATGGATTATCTTGGAACTTGGTATACTTATTCCTTATACCCTAAGGTTGGCAACTATTGATGTTAGTGCACGGCCCTCCTCCACCCCACCCCACCCCACCCCACACAATTTTTGTTGATATTTTGTCTGTAAATGAAATACAGGTTGCAATTATTAACAAATCTGGATCCAATTCAGAATGATCCAGCATAGGGTTGTACCTATACATTCTCTTCAAAAAAAGTAGGGGATATTGAAATGCAAATACCTATGCAGGTTGTGATATGATAAATAGTCATGGACACTTGACATGCTTTGGGAGTATGTTCACAGATCAAAAAAGTATCGCGCCAACAGAACCACTAAGCTGTGTCGGACATTTACTAGTTGTGAGGCCTGATTTCAGAGACTAGAATTAGCTCCCTTATCAGTTTCTTTTACGGTTGAAGTTTAGTTTTGGTTTATATATTTTTACCTGGCTAGTCACGATTATCAATATGTAGTTACAGTCCTTCAAAATAAAGTTATCGAACCATCGATCCAGGGTTTTTATACCGCCACAATCAAAAATTCCCCAACATGGTCCGACGAGACGGATTCGAGTAAAGTGGTCAACATTCCAAGTAACCAATAATGGTAAATCATCCCCATGGTCGTAAATCCATACAGGCGCTGTTAGTCACTCATTCATACCCAATCAACATGGCGACCACGACAGACGGTAATAACCAAAATGTAAATAAATGTAAACGAACGATCAGGGTTAGAGCAGATCATCGTTCATCCCTTAAAAGAACCCTGTCAAAAGCTGAACACGCTTTGAGTAGGAGTATCACTGATCTGCATCCAACTGAAATAAATGAACACAAGGTTCTTATAAAACAACTAAGAGCCAGCATTACTCGAGAAACTTACTATCATACAAGGATTAGATCATGAAATATTGGAATGCAGCGAGGACGAGGACATTGAAGGTGAAATTGAGCAATTTTATAATTTAAAGGACTCTGTTTATTTAATGACATTGGGGTTAGATTCAGCCCTAGAAAAAAAATTGAGCCCATCAAAACCCAAATTCAACCCAGTCCCTGACAGCCACACCTACCAGTACCAGGCCAGTGTATCGACTAAACCAGAAAGTAGTCCAGGAATAAACATAGACACACCACAGGGGCTTGATTCATCTATTGAGAATTCAACCTATACAGTTTCACCTACAAGAACTCCAACATCTGATGTTTCAGCACGACCACATGTAAAACTTCCAAAGCTCGATTTACGCAAATTCAATGGAGATCATTCCAAATGGCAATTCATGAAAATTCCAACCTATCGGACATAGATAAATTTAATTATCTAAACTCTCTCTTAGAAGGTTTTGTCGCAGGATCCATCGCAGGGTTAGCACTAACAGCTCCCAGTTACCAAGAGGCCATTACGATTTTACAGAAAAGATTCGGGAATCGACAGCAAATTGTTAATCGACACATGAATATTATTTTAAATACAGTAACAGACATGCATAATTTGAAAGGTATACGCCGACTTTACGATACAGTGGAAGCTAACGTCAGGAGCTTAAAGTCTTTAGGCATTCCCTCGACCACATATGGTAGCTTGTTATCTTCCATAATCATTAATTGTGGCTAACAATTAGCCGAATTGTGGCTAATTGTTAGTAGAGGAATTGGGGACCAGGATTGGAATTTAGATAAGATGCTGTTGATCATTAAAAAGGAATTAGAGGCAATGGAGAGAACCAGTAATTATCCCCCTTCAAATGCCACTGATAACCCATCAAGATCCAATGTTTTGTATAGAAGAGTTCCCAACAACAATAACCAATCAACCGCAGCAGCCTTATTAACGGGTGGCCAGTGGTCACCTACCTGCACTTATTGTTCTGGTGAACATCCATCAAATTCATGCAAAATAGTCTCCAGTTTACAATCAAGAAAAGAAATTATTCAAAAATATAAGAGATGTTTTATATGTTTGCGTAAAGACCATATCAGTCATGATTGTACTCCGGGAAGGGTTTGCCAAAAGTGTCATAGTCGACATCACATAAGCATATGCCCGCATCTGCATGGTTACTTTAAACCAGAATCTCTGCATGTCAATCCACATGAACATAGACCCAGGTCGTTGGAAACACCAACAACAAATTTTCAAAAGGACACCAGCATGACTAAGTCAATTACTCATTCATCCGTCATGTATACCGATACCAGTATGGATACTGTTTTACTGCAAACTGCCAGAGCTCACATTTTTAACCCAACATCAACTGTAATTTCAACGAATTGTCGTATGATATTTGACACCGGTAGTCAGAGGTCATATGTTACCACACAACTGCGAGATTTTCTTCAATTACCAACCATTAGTAGAACCTCAGTTACAATTAACACATTCGGACCTACACTGGAAACCACACAAGAAGCTGATGTTGTAAGGATTTTAATTGGAACCACATCAGGAAGAAGAATACAAATTACAGCATTTGTCGTTCCTTTAATCTGTCAGCTCATTAAATACCGGGATGTAGTAGAAGTAAAAAATCGTTACCCTCACCTGCACAATTTACAACTTGCTAATTATCCAGAACCACGATCAAACGGCACAATCCACATTCTTATCGGCTTAGATCACTACTGGGATTTCGCAACAGGACGAGTGGGTATAGAAACGTCACTGGGATGATGGATACTCTCTGGACATTCTTTCGGCATGGATACCCCAACAGATCAAATTCTCATTATTACATTACAAGTTGGACTTGATGAACAACTCCGTCAGTTTTTGGATCTGGAAGCCATTGGACTTAAACCAAGCTCCATTTATGAAGAATTGACAGAAACCATCACGTTTACCAAGGGTCGGTATGAAGTTAGACTTCCATGGAAAAATCCTCATCCCACATTATCAGACAACTACCTGTTATGTTTAAGGAGACTTTATAGTTGCTTTCAACGCCTGAAGGGTCATCCCACCCTTCTTCAAGATTATGATAAGATTATTCAAGAACAGAGAAACCAAAAGATTGTCGAATTAGTTAAGTCGCCTGGAACTAGTGAATTGGGATCCATCCATTACTTACCACATCACCCAGTAATACGATCTGATAAATCTACAACCAAGATTCGTATTGTTTACGATGCATCTGACAAGACTGAATCTAATCCGCCATTAAATGAATGTCTGTATACAGGGCCATCCATAAATCAGAAGATCTTTGACATCATTCTGAGATTTAGATCTCATAAAATAGCTTTGACAGGAGATGTCGTAAAAACATTTTTAATGATTACTTTACCTGAGGCAGACAGAGATGTGTCGCATTTCCTGTGGTATGATGATATTGATAAGGATGTACCAGACCTAATCACACTTCGCTTCACTAGGGTTGTATTTGGAGTTTCGTCCTCGCCATTTTTGTTGAATGCGACAATCAAATACCACATGGAGAAGTATAATGAAGTCCATCCAGAATTCGTAAGAAGATTTATGAGATCTAACTATGTAGATGATCTGACCAGTGGAGCAAATAGCGAAGATGAAGCATTTGAGTTATATCAATTGTCGAAGTTCTGTCTATTGGAGGGAGGTTTCAATATGAGAATGTTCAAAACCAATTCCACTACTTTGCAGAATAGGATTAATGAAATCGAAACCAATGATCATAATAACCAGCCAACCAGCTCCACAATACAAGAGGATGACCAGACCTTTATCAAATCGACTCTCGGTAATCACCCCAGATCAGTATCAGAAGAATACTCTGCTCAAAGAATTTTAGGTGTGGAATGGAACTATATCACGGATGAACTAATATTTGATCTACAGGATATAGCCAAATCAAGTCAAACCACAGTACCAACTAAGCGGAATATTGTAAGCATTACTGCCAAATTTTTCGACCCGCTAAGATTCATTTCCCCGTTTATCATCCAGTTCAAGGTTTTATTCCAGGAGCTGTCATTGAGTCAACTGGCGGGATAGTTCGATTCCCCGGTTGTACGTGACAAGGAGTAGGGTCGCCTGTCAAACCTCGTGGTTTTTCCCCGGGTCCCCCGGTTTCCTCCCACTGCTAAAGACCCCTACGCGCAAGCGAATTATTGAAATAAAATTGAACCATGCGTTAGTCCCGAAATGACCTAGTTTGTGTCGAGTGGACGTTAAACCCTATTTCTCTATAAATTCATACACATTCTTAAGTACAAGAAAAGGATGGATCTGAATATAGCTATGGTTCAAGCAAAGGTCGAATGGCTAAGAGATATTCAGAATGATTTGAAATCTCATCGTAACTATGATAGCTGGACGAAACAGTTTGGTATTTTCACTGGGGAGGATAGTATTTTGCGGCTGATGTTCCAAACTCAACGAAATGTCCGATTCTGCTCAACAAGGATCACCACCTAACAGAACTTATAGTTTATCAATGCCACGAAATAGTTTCACACGAGGGCGTGAAATCCACACTCACATAAATCAGATCCAACTATTGGTTAATAAAGGGACGCCAGTATGTTCGAAAGATCATACACAAATGCATTACTTGTCAAAGTATTTGAAGAACTTATTAGACAGTCAAGACGTATCAACTTATTTCCACTCAAAACACATTCAATGGAAGTTCAATCTGGAGAAGTCTCCTTTGTCTGGAGGCCTTTTCGAACGATTAATCCAGTCCATGAAAAGGTGTCTCAAAAGGATATTGTGAAAATCCAAACATTCATTTGAAGAACTTTGCACAATTTGGTGTGAGGTTGAAGCGACTCTCAATTCAAGACCACTTACGTATGTTTCTACTGAAGAATTTGAGGAGCCATTAACACCATCCCATCTGGTCATGGGTCGTCGAATTTTGAATTTACCAGACGTACAGCAAGATGATAATGCAGACCCGGAATACCATACATCACAGGATGACGTAACTAAGCGAATGACTCATTTATCGGTTATTCTTCAGCATTTATGGAATCGCTGGAGCACTGAATATTTGCTCTAATTAAGATCTACCCCCAACCAAAATGGTGAAACCAACCAAATCATTTGCATTGGGGAGATTGTCATAGTATCCAACGAACATTTACCCAGAGGACAGTGGGGGCTAGGAAGGGTCGTTGATCTTTTACCAGGACATGACGATATTGTACGTGGGTGGTGCAGTTGTTCGTACTACAGCGCTATCGGGAAAACTAACAACTATAAATCGTCCTTTAAAACTGTTATATTCACTTGAAATTAGTAGTCCAGATAATAATCTCAATACCACTGCTAATCAAGGGTATTCAGTTGCCCAGACTCATCATGAAAGTCTTCAGGAAGAACGACAACCCACAGATGACACAAGTAACATTAGATCAAGGCGAAAGGCAGGCGTAAAATCTGATGAAAAGAGACATTTGTGGTTAAAGGACTTGCACTAGCGAAGAGTCCACTTAGAGTGTTATGAACTTTTTATTTCCTTGTGGAAATCTTAACTGTGAACATTTAATATCAATACTTGACCAAAGTTAATTTAAATTTCATATTCAGTGTGACTGTAAATTAGTGATGATCTTCGATTAGAACAATCTTAGGTCATCAGGGAGGGGGGGGGGAGTGTCGGACATTTACTAGTTGTGAGGCCTGATATCAGAGACTAGAATTAGCTCCCTTATCAGTTTCTTTTACGGTTAAAGTTTAGTTTTGGTTTATATATTTTTACCGGGCTAGTCTCGATTATCAATATATGGAGTTACAGTCCTTCAAGATAAAGTTATCGAACCATCGATCCAGGGTTTTTATACCGCCACAATCAAAAATTCCCCAACAAGCTGCACGTGCGATACGTAATAGCGCCATAAACGTGGGAGGGGTTCATTGTCAAATTTGACACTTCAAGGAAAGGTTGATGAAAACTGCCGCGTGCTGGTTTATCCTATCCATGTTTGCTTTCCTATCGGTTCTTGCATAAGATTTACTGTTTAGCGTATCTATGTTACATTTAATTTGCAATGAGACGTGTTCAACATGGCGTCAGTGGTGTAGACAGCGTAGAAATCGGGGTAATCGTCGATGGGCACGTGTGATGTTCTCAGATGTGTCAAGATTTACTCTGGATTTCACCGATAGGCGTGCTCGCGTTTGGAGGCGTGTAAATGAGCGTCATGCTATGTTAACGTCAGACAGCATGACAGATTTGGGCGTGGGTCTGTTATGGTGTGGGGAGGAATCACCATGACTGGCAGAACGGACTTACATATTGAAGGAAGAATCACTGGTGTGTACTATCGTGACGTAAATGACTACCCCCAGCGTCACCATATTGTCCATGTGCATTGGCCAGCCATGAGTCCTTACCTTTTCCTTATAGAGCATGACTCTGGGACATGATCTGGAGACGTGTTCGTCGACGTCAACGTTCACCGACAACACTGCAAGAATTGGCCGTGGTAATGCAAGAGGAGTGGGTCAGATTGTTCCAAATCGTGATTGGACGGTTTATTAGGAGCATGCCACAACGAATTGCTGAATGTCTGAGGATTGGTGGAGCAATTACTCATTTTTAAGACAAAAATCAAAAACGTCCATTTTCACAGTGCATCTCGTTGCGAGTGAAATGGGGCCGTCAGATAAGCCGCCCATATGATGAACTGTTTATGTTCATGTGTAGGCAATTGGCCTGTTATTAACATACACTAGTTACCTCTAATAAAAACATCAGTGCATTTCCGCAGTTTTGTATTGTTTCTGAATATCCCCTAATTTTTTTTAAGAGTATTTATTGGTCCATGTCCACCCCCCCCCCCCAATTTTTATGTTTTTGTTTACAAGTTGGATCATCTTGGAACTTTGCATATTTATTCCTTAAACTGTAAGGATAGCAACTATTTATTTTGGTGCATGTCCCGACTCCCAGGGATGTGGTACCACACCCACTTTTTTTTAGTTTTTATCGGTAAATACTCTACAGGTTGCAATAATTATCAGATTTTGTTCAAATTCAGCATATCAATTAGTTCAATAACAGGGTGGTACCTATTCATATTGTCCCATATCCAACCCTCAGGGCCAGAGCCACGCCCAATTTTTGTAGTTATCGTCTACAGGGTACAATTCTGAATGGTTCATCTTGGAACTTTGCTTATGTATTTCTTATACCTTAATGATAGCATCTATTTATTGTGGTACATGTCCCGGCCCACTGGGGCAGTGGCACGCCAACTTTTTTTGTTAATATTTTGCCTGTAAATTTGGCAAAACAAAACCAAAGCCTAGCCTTCTTTGTCTGTGTCATATTACAGCCATTTCATATTTCATTCTCTTTATTTTAAAAGGTATCTTATCAATCAAAGCAGGAATGTGGACGTATATTGCAGCGTTAGAAATGCTCTTGTTGTCTTCTCTTCTCCATAATCTGGAATTAAGGTGGGCACAGGCTGAGATTTCGGCTCCGAAGCCACAAGCATGGCTATATTGGAATACTTTCTTGTTGCTTTACCCCAACGGTTACTCATGGACCGTATAATATTCTTTTTTTTCTGGGGGATGATCCCTATATAACAGGAAGTTATACCATGGGTTGCTTACTTACGGGTCGGGTGTGCATGAAAACGTGTTTGCAGCAGTCTAATTTTCAACATTATTCTGCGTGAGCTGATCAAAACTTACAGAAAGAGATTTTGCAACAGTCAACCTCGGATTGGCTAGGTTTCCAGCTGTGCTAGATTCCCATGGCCAGCGTAAGACAATTCAGTTTGTATGGGTCTAGAAGTTTTGAATATAACCCAATATCAACTGCAGACAGCTTACCAAAATCAAATGACCTAATTATATTAAAACTTATTTTTGAAATAGAAACTGATTCCATACATTTGGTAATCTGTTTCCTCTTCTAGTGGCGACGCTCTTCAAAAACACCTTAATGCTCCGCCAATTCGAGTAAGATTGACATGAACCTTGGCATGCTCGCTCTTTGGACAATTGCGCACTGAGCGACTTTTGATATGACAGTTTCATGTTGTTACCCACATCATGTTAACAAGCGGCTAGAAACGTAGTAACAGTGGGCTTTCTATGTAAAAGTCGATTTTATACGTGTCAGCTTTAGAGAGCTTAAATACCATCTATGTATCGTGGCTACTAAACAAGGCAATAATGTGGTATAATCTTTTGATATAGGTTGACAATAAATAAAAGAAATAAATTAATAAACAAACAAATAACAATAACTTTTATTGAATTCCCAATAAATAAATCATCATTCAAAAGAGCAAACCATCGCCCCTTTAGCATCTTTTCATGGAATTCTTAGTATGGCCCCTCAGGGCATGGCTTTGACTTGTGATCTTGACTTTAAAACTTTTACAGTTAAACAGGTGGTAGCAAGCAATAGTAGAACAACAGCCACAACAAGGATTATGACTACGATCAGAATACCATTCGATTGAGCACAGAGTTGAGACTCAACCTGGTGTTCATGATCGGTGTTGTGATCGGGGTGGTGAATCTCGGGTCTTAATTCGGCTGTAATGGAATAACATATAAGTTCATTATAATTCACTATATTTTAGATTTAAACCAATTTATAATGAAATGTGATCAATGTTACTGTCTTCGCCATCTCTTTTACTTGATGCATTTATGTAACGTACAGAATATACTATCTAACAGACATGGGCAATAAGATCGGGAAGGCGGCCTAACTTTAGTAGCTAAAGTCTACCTTTTAGAAAAACACTTCGAAACCTTTGTCCGTGAATAGAGATGCTCTAATGGAAATTCGGCAAATATAATATTAGTAGTAAATACTTACATGACGGATAGATATCGGGTACAAATTCTTCTGGGTTATAAGGATCACGTACAGCAATTGTATCTACCACATTAAATTCTTCGGGGTTTTCAGCACTACGCCTTCTTCTGCCTATATTATTGGCGGTACACGTTGGCTATAAACAATTAATAACACAGATATTAAACAACAATAAAGATTTAAGCGTTACTAGCTTTTACAGATCATTGTCGCTTGGTAAAAAAAACCCTTATTTTAGATTTGATGTGATTTGACTGTTTCAAGTAAGTTGTAGTGTGTGAACTGATAGTTTTCTGATTAAATAGGAATAAAATCAGTATTTTCCAACAGAAGACATCCAACAAGTTATATTATATGGTGATCGAAATCTCCCCAAAAGAAGCCTTTCACTTTATTTTATTAAAGCTGTTTTTTTTTTTTTTTTTTTTTTAAGTTACTGAATGCTTTTTAAGAAAGACTAGAACTAATACCCCACACCACTCTTCGATGCTACGGATACATATAATTTGACGAATGATTTTTTTCTATAACTCCACCCGATTGTTTTATTTTTACAGAACAACATCAGTGTCACGTATACTGAAACCGAAGGGGGATTTACCTGAATACAAGTTTCAGTTGGGCGGCAGACTCGAACGCTGCACTCAAATGATACGATCGGAGAGTTGGAGAATCGGAAGGCTGTGAAGTTAACCATAATGCGAGGAATGCTCATGTCATACATGATATCTCCTTCAATTATACTTCTTCCTATTGTGGTAGGACACCTGTAAAAGAAAATTTTATCAACTATTAACTTGTTTACCTGATGGTAAGCATGCTATCAAAAACAAAAAACAATATTAATTATAGTGTTCTATTTCAGCCAGCGGATCAAGGTTCCGGTCGTTTGTGAAGCTATACCTCTGGAAACAACATATCCTGTAGGAGTGGAAATATACTGATATTGAGAAATACTTAGTCTCATATTAATTTATCCTCGAAGCCAGGTATTAAATGAAACCTAATAAATATAGCTTCTAAGTTCTTAAAAGTAAGAGAATAATATAATTTGTAACTAAGGATCGCTTCATTTCAGCCATTAATCCTATCTTCTTTACCTAACATCTGAATTGAGAATTTAAGGCGCATTCAAACCTTAAAGGTTGTCAGTTTTCCAGTTGGGTCGCTCAAGAAAATGTCTGGCAGTTCATCATTGTCTAATAATTCAGTTTCATTTTCCTACTAAACTCCTGGTGGAAAAGTTCATTTAATTTTTAGGCGTGAAAGGCGTATTGAAATCTATCATACTGAGATAAATCTTGAGACCTATTTCTACAGTAGGACATGCGGAAGGCAACCCTTTTTGTGAATCAATGTGAACACTTCAAACAATCTTTGTACAAATTTAATAAGAGGTCTTCGCGTAATAAAAGAAAGGCAATTTAAGGCAATAAAAGAATTCTTACCCGTTCTGAATGGTGATTTCTCGGATACGTACTGGGGCATTTGGACCGTTTACAGCAGTACAGGTTTCCAACACAAAAGAATCATACACTGAAAGTAAATTATAAAGATATAACTTTTATATGTCTGATCTTGGTGCCAGTTCTGTGTTTTTGATAACATATTAATCCAATCAAAAGGTAATGCCTACTTTCGATGAGAAAACGTACGGGACCAGTCAAGATTTAAAACATGGGTCAGCCCCTCGGCTAAAGTAAGAAAGGGGTCAAAAGAGACCTTTGGTAAAAGATGGCCAGGTCACATCTCAAACAAGAAAGAAACAGATTAATCGTCAAAGAACGCAAGATGCAATGAACGGAACACTTGATTAAAAATTAATGGTATGGACAGATGAAAAGAAAGTAGATTTAGACTATATCGATGGAAATTGTGAATACCATATATTTCATCGTGAACGGAAAGGATTAACGACGAAGAAGACCGTCCATTCATTGAAAACAAACCGGTATATATATACATATAAAATAAAATATATAATATCACTTACATTTTTTATCAGCTAGTTCGAATCTCTTCATAAGTTTATCACCGAGAAACAATGGTGGAGTAACTGCAGAACCATCTCGCCTTAGAACAGCGAATTGAACAGGGTCATACTTTGTTTCCGTTGTATCTTTAGTGAAGTTTGCTCTACAATAAAATCCAGACAAAAAAATAAAAATAAAATATACTTTTTTTTATTACCACCCTTGCAACATAGACTCAAACAACCTTCTCCTCAAACTGTGCTATCGTTACATGGTGGGGCGGGGGCAATTAATCACACATGCAACGAATATACTTATCAAAAGCAAATGGGCAACATGAGACGTGCCATGTCCAACTTGTACAAGACGACAAAATAATATAAACCCAGAAGAAAAAATGCGCGAAGACGTAGTAAGATTGGATGAGGCATGGTGTTTAACCTATAATAAATTCCTTACGGATCATCAACTGAAACAGTTCCTACACCACCATCTACAGCTGTCATTGAAGAGTTCGAATAAGAACATGAAGCCGTGACTACCATATCGCCAGACGTGACAAAAGTAGAAGACGCTTGTAACTTCACATCCACAGAGTAAGTTGTGGTATTAGCCTGAAAAGAGAGAACACCCATTGCAAATGGCGAAACATTATGATCACTTGGACCAACACGAGGAAACTCGTTTACAAAAATACAGTCATGGGTCATTTTTTCTTTAGGGTAGAAAAACGCATTGAATAAAAGTTGAACCCCCAAAAGACGTTATATAATACGCACATATATACTGAGCAGCGTTTTGATCAGGACTCTCTCGTCATTATCTATCAAGACTTAGTGATATAAATGTACAATTATTTTTAAAAACATTACAAACAGTAACTGCATTCCAGAGAGCAATCTATTGCTAGAGTGACCCGTGCATTGAACATTTTCTCAACAGAGAGTAGGACTCGACACGGCGAATGTGCACGCTTCAGTGGCTTGTCCCGAAGTGATTTCTGGCTAAACACGCAATATGAAAATACTCAGCAATAGAGTCTATGGGACTATAAATAGCCATCGCACGTGCAATTCTCTACATATCTATCAACTATTACGGCCGTAAAAAAAATATATTGTTGACGATTCTGAATAGAAGTAAAATTTAGCTTTTTGGTTATTACAGCAGCTTTAGAACTTACGTTCGTTTTATTTTTTAAATTGCTTTATCATTAACTGTGCTGTTAGGGGCCGCATCTTTTGGTTTAGTACAAATAACATCGGTTAAGCGAGACTAGTTAAGCGAGACTAATTACAAAACAAGGGCACGTAACCTATTTTTTACTCACAAGTGCCCGGATGTTATGGCTGACACTCGTAACCATTCTTTCAGTGTATTATTTATAGATGGTTAAATGGTCATAGCTTATTAAGTACAACATGACCGTTTATTTAGTGACTATAAATGTGCGGAAAGGATTTAAGGCTTGGTATATATATAAATATTGTGGTGTAATTGTCGAGATATTTGGAGATATTTATTTATGGTGGGTCACCCTACTATTACAGTTCAACTACTTAATATCATTAAAACAATATATACTTACAGAATCCATTGTTGTTTGGATTGAACATCCACTATCGACACCTAAATTAGCGAAATAACTCACAACACCATCTCCATCAGTTGATTCATTAAAAGCACACGCAGTATCTGTCATGTTATCTTTAACAAAAACTAGGCCCATGAATGGTTGATACGGAACAATTGTAACATTTAGAGAATCTCCACTGCACGTGACTTCAGCTGTAAACAGAGACAGAGACGAGCGGCATAAAAAGACGAGTTTTAAGACTGCACATGTCAATTTAAAGATGAACAAATAATTATAGTGTTTCAATTCAAACTTATAAGAGACTATACATGCATATCTCGGAACCCACATTCCGCAGAGTATTTGCCCTTGCAACGTTTGTCCTGGTAAATGAAGTTTGGTGACGCTCCTAACAATAGATGACTTTACTAAGTTTGATTAGTGGTGACAAAGGGTAATCAACTGTTATTTAACCCAAAAGATTTTATGCTCTCCAAATTATATAAGTCACGATCGAGTAAAACGATGCATACCCCTACTGGGAAAACGGGTATCCACTGTGTTCTTTTCCCCATTTAAAGGGTCATCAGGTAAGATTAAATAAAGAACTGAAAGTTCTCGCTATAATAGTTAAAAATATGCTGAAAATTTCAGTCAAATTGCTTCACTCTGAACTGAGATATTAGCATTTCAATTTTAGGCTAACCTCGATCGTCACTACTAACGTTGGTACGATAATAAACAAAGTCTCGATTATCCATTTTTTGTTAAATCAGCCATTACAAAATGTATTCAAATCCACTAAATATCGCAGGCTAACGATGGCACCGAGGGTTCATAAGTTAATTAAATTTTGATTAATAATTTAGATAACATTTCAGGCCCAAAGAAAGATCTGCAATAAGCCAAGTATAGTTTCTAGCACCATTGTAAATTATAAATGTTACCCAAGATAGAAGTGTAGAAATTTACCTCGTCTATTTTCACATAACGTGCCATAGTATGTAGGATCCAAACAGTAACACGATTTTACTCCTGACTTCTCTACAGTTATACCACTATTTTCACACATGAGCATCATAGCCTGGTCTAACACTATCGTATCTAAAAACAAAACAAAGAGGATTATGTATATTTTTAATAAGAAGAAAACAAAGTGTGCCAGGCTTGTCACCATGACCAAATGTATCCCAGTCACAATTTTGCGGCTCACAAAATAAGCACATATTTGGACTGTAAATCTGTATCAAGACATTGCGCGGAGATACTGGCTAAATGATATATCTAGTAGCGGAGGGGGCACATGCATTTAAATTGGTTGATATTAACACAATGTATAAATCAGCATTTGAAATCTAATTATGGTTGGAGTACAATTTCATTTCATTTATCTTTATCTGATATTTACCACCAGAAATACCATTCTAGGAAATCCACCAGAACCAATGTTATATTCGCTTGGCATTTAAAATTCCCACAAATCGTCATTTAACGAAGCCACGAGTACCATACCAATACCAATATAATAGAAAGACGAAAGTAACTGGCATCTCATATTAATATGTGTGCCACCCGCCCCCGCCTCAAAACGAATAACACTATAAGTTAGTGTTTCTGAATTTAAATTGGAATAATAAATCTTACCAGTAGCGAGCCCGCAGTTTGGTCCATCATTAATCCCTGCGTCACAAGTACAGTTTCCGGTATTGTCGTCACATGCTGTAGAGTTTTCACAAACAATCCCGTTTCTTCTACAGTCAAAATACGACGCATTTACACCTAAAATATTTTAAACGAGAACTTAACTTAGAACACAGAAACTTATTTTGAAATAAATTATACCATTATTATTTCATCTTTTCTGAGAGTTTTTTCGGCGATATGAAAATCAGTCCCGATAACTCCTATCCCTATTGAAAACTGATATTTATTTATTCTTTTTCGAAATTGTGAACGGAAACGAACACACGGCAAGAACTATAGTGTGTAGAGCCTGAAAACGTTCACATTAAATGTGGGGGAATAGAAATACCAGCTCGGTCAACTGTTAAACATTCCCACAAAATAATTTATTGGGTAAAAATGTATGGCATATTTGGTATATATGGAAAGTAGAGGCACTCTACCATACTACAAAAACTGGATTCTGTAAAATAAAAAAAATACACCCATGGGGTGTGCACAGGACAAAAACATGACGGTGTTAATAACTGGCAGTCTGTCTTCTAGAGTGACGTACAGGGCGCTTCTTGTTGAACATTTTGACAGTATTGAGAGACTTAAATGCCCAGTAGATTCTGCGATTAAATGATAGAAAAAGAAGTTGTCAGAGGGCAATCCAAGAATTTACTTAGGCTTTGATATTTATGGTAAATAGACAGCGACTAATGAGACATACAAGTCGGAATGGATTGTCTCTCATTTGGATGACAAACAAGATAGTTTGCTATTAAAATGTTTTGAGAGGGATTTGAAGCAAACGTTTGATAGATAAATTTGTTTAAATATGTTTTAGTCAAAATATATCATCAGATGACACAGTCTGTAAATGGGATGACATCTTTAATCTTCACTGATAATATACAAGAACTATGACGTTTACTTACATGTTGTCACTGCTAATACAACAGCTAATTTAGTTAACCAACACATCTGAAAATGATAATATTATGCAAATCATTTTGATATCTCTATATATCTTTCTTTTTTTAGAATTGTTAATATTCTTCAAAGATAATACGAAAACATGACAGTATATTATAAAATGGCGCTTCCTGAAGACTAATGAAACATACGCCGCGCATAAATAACCACGTGTTTTGTGCTATATGAACAATAGAAGTACATTTCTCGTTTTAACGGAAATGCAATGAAACACTGTTTAATGACACGTCAGCACCAACCGGGCTTATTCTTAAATTTAAATATTAGCTTTATTAATTTTTCTCTATTTGTAAGGAAAGTGTTTCGTGTCTTGATACCTAACATCTGTCCCCTCGCTTCCCACCATTTTAAATACTAAACTGCACATAAGCGTCAGTACCATAAGATACAATTTATTTTATCATAACGTATAGCACTTCAAGTTAACGCGTTTAGATGAGTAAATGACCGCGTTTCTTAAATATCATTGTTCCCTTTTTAATAGTATTAATTTATACACCCAGCCAGTTTGTTACTACAGACTTTTGGCAAGCGGAATTTTCCCATCCGTATCACGTATTCGTATTGTATAAGTGATACGTTGCGTCAATTTAGTTTTAGAGTTTTGGCAGATTTTCGCGTCGCGTATGTGTCGCTGAGCTGAGCTTATTTCTATTACAGCATCGCCACCAGTACTAGTCAAGTGCCTAGCTTACAATATCCCGGAAGGAGTGAAGTGGCTCGACAGTCGTAGATCAACCAGCATGCAGACAGGCAGACAGGAAAAGTACGAAAACTCCGATAAAACCCCACCAAAAAGACAACAATGTTATACGGATCTTTTCAGTATGAAAGCTATTCGGTGCCGTATCACAGTGAGAAATACACATACATTGATGAGGTCACACGCAAAATCCATACTGATACGCGATACGGACCATGAATTTACGCTTGCCAAAAGTCTATATTACTTAATTCGCTTATCCGTATTTTACTTTATAATATAAGGTGAACGTATAGATGATATAAATGAAAGTTCCAACAACTGTATAATAAATAATTGATTGTTATTTTGCGTATATAAATCTATTTGTACTTATATTTATCAAACAATAGACATTGATCTGAAGGAAACTGGCCGATTTGTCATAATAAATATATGTCAGTTCACATCATAAAAATGACAGTTTATTTTGATTTTAATGTAATAGCAATTGTTCTAAATACATCTTTGTAATTTAAAGTAGTATCTAGCACAAATACATTTATCATTTGGAGAATACCAGCCGCTCTGTCTTGTTAGATGATTTATGATATACGTGACAGTATATTTCATGATGGTTTTATATAATTAATATGTAGATTTTGAGCTAAATTGGACCAATTCGTATAACGCCCCTAATAATTCTTCCTCTTGAGTCTATTAATGACAACATACATACACGTATTTGGCGCCATGATAATAGTGGGCTATATGGAATATCGGGTTCTGACATCTTGGGTTTACAGATATTAATCGCTTGTCTATATTTCTTCTTGGTTCTGGAGATCGCAAGATAACTTTAAAACAATTAGAACAACATGCCACATTTCATTATATTGGGAGTATCTCCAAGTAAGTAACTGTAATGACAATTTATGTTAAAAAAATTGATAAGGATCAAGTCAAGGGCATTTAAAGACCCACAATGCCAAACTAAAAGTGAAATATTTAAAAACAAATACAAATCTCATAAAATAACACTCCAAATAGATACAAAACCAAAAGATGGAAGAACGTTTATAGAATGAATCCAGAGAGCAATAGGCACCCTTAATGCTCGGTATACTCCGTGTCACGTACAATCGGGGAATCGAAACCACGCCAGTTGACTCAATGACAGACTTTATGATACAGCGCGCACGTGCTAACCATTCAGCCACCCCCCCCCCCCACCTCCGAACTTTCTATAGCGAGAGAGAGAGAAATGGGACTTAACGTCCACTCGACACAAACTAGGTCATTTCGGGACTAACATATGGTTTAATTTTATTTAAATAATTCGCATGCCACATTTCATTATATTGGGAGTATCTCCAAGTAAGTAACTGTAATGACAATTTATGTTAAAAAAATTGATAAGGATCAAGTCAAGGGCATTTAAAGACCCACAATGCCAAACTAAAAGTGAAATATTTAAAAACAAATACAAATCTCATAAAATAACACTCCAAATAGATACAAAACCAAAAGATGGAAGAACGTTTATAGAATGAATCCAGAGAGCAATAGGCACCCTTAATGCTCGGTATACTCCGTGTCACGTACAATCGGGGAATCGAAACCACGCCAGTTGACTCAATGACAGACTTTATGATACAGCGCGCACGTGCTAACCATTCAGCCACCCCCCCCCCACCTCCGAACTTTCTATAGCGAGAGAGAGAGAAATGGGACTTAACGTCCACTCGACACAAACTAGGTCATTTCGGGACTAACATATGGTTTAATTTTATTTAAATAATTCGTTTGCGCGTAGGGGTGTTTAGCAGTGGGAGGAAACCGGAGGAACCAGGAGAAAACCCAAGAGGTTGGACAGGCGGCCCTACTCCTTGTCACGTACAACCGGGGATTTCTAGTCGCCCTCTTCCCAGATACAAGTCAAAGGTGTACATATAAGTTAACGTCTCTAATAGTAATACGGTTTAAATTATGTTATATAGTAATAAACGTTTTGAACTTTTTTCAAGGCTTTCCAAAATTTCAATAATGTCTGCCCAATGTTTGATTTCGTGCATCTGAAAGTACATGTACGGAACATCGTAAAGCGTAGTCAGAGCAATTTAGTCTTAGTTTACTTTGAATAATTTGTTTTCGCTGTACTTTAATGTCTGGATTGGAGAGATGACCGGGAAAAACTGTTTTTAACAAGAGCTGTGAGTTTTTTCCACTTTCTTATACTGGACGGAATAAACGAATTATTTTTAGTTTATCTTGATTTCAAAACAAGTATGTATTTGTTACTTCAAGATTTATAAGGTTGTTAATTAATTTGTCTAGTTATTTTAATTTATTTCAGTTTTTGTATAGAGGGGAGAGAGAGAGAGAAATGGGGTTTAACGTCCACTCGACACAAACTAGGTCATTTCGGGACTAACATATGGTTTAATTTTATTTAAATAATTCGCTTGCGCGTAGGGGTGTTTAGCAGTGGGAGGAAACCGGAGGAACCAGCAATGGGGGGAAACTGCCTTATGGCGCGCACGTGCTAACCATTCGGTCATCCATCCCCCTTGTATAGAGGGAAGCATGACCAGTATCATTAACCACCCCATAAATGTGGTAGAACGCTTCTATGTTCGTTTATTTTTTTTAGTCTGCTCGAATTCATTGATAGCGGTGGTCTTATTGTATTGCGCTTATTTGCAAGAGTTAAAGTTTCTGTTTTAGGGGGTTAAAGCCATTAGCCATGTTTCCGCCTATTTATTAATTATGTGAAAATTTTGTTAAAAGTAACCATTTATGATTATATACCGTTAGGACGTGTCAACAGCAAATAATCGGATGTTTCATTTTTTATTATTCGAAATATTATTAATATATATATAATAAAAACAGGAGTGACCCAAGTACACTACCCTGTGGAACGCCACCCCGAATGCCCCTGAAAATGAAATGAAATGGGGTTTAACGCCATACTGTTCTGACCGAACTGGGCTAATGAAGACGCGCATACGCCGTACAGTGTGCTATGAAGGGAATTTTGCCTGGACTGCGGCACTACATCCTACTGTTATAACGAATGCCATCTGTCAAGGGATCGTTTACGTGCACGCCAATGTGTACACCATGGGACCTCGGTCTTTTGTCCCATCCGAACGACTAGACAGCTGTCCTTGTCAGGCCCTTTGTCCTGCATCGAATTCCCCTGGAATCCGTTGTCAAAGTACTACGATAGTGTATTAGCTGTGACTGATAGTCTGTCAAAATGAAGCAATTAGGGTCAATTACCTGGAAGATAGTTGAATCACCTGGAAGAAACCCCCTTTGAAGTGTTGATGATATTAAAATTGTGCTGGAAGAAGTTTAAGGCGTGTGTATGTATCATTTGTTCAAATAGTTTTACTATGATGCTAAGCAGAGAAATGTGTCTGTAATTGCTGTAATCATTGGGTGGGGTGGGGTGGGGTGGGGTGGGGGCTGTCCATTTGTGAAAGGTCTTTTGTAGTTCACATTAGTTTCTATTGATTTAGTTCTGTTTCTTAGACAAATGAAGTAATACTAATTGTCATTTTTTCGCATGTACTCGTATTTGACAGCGTCTAGTCGTTATGGTGTTACGAAAAGCGGATATCCGGTGTACACGTTGGCGTGCACATAAAACAGCCCTTGGCAATGGAAATTCACTTGGTGTCCGGCAGCACACTGTATGACGTTTGTCGATCTTTATTAGCACAGTTGGTACAGAAAACTAAGACGTTCAACCCAATTTAATGCATTCATGTTTTGGGTAGCTTAGTATTACAAGAAACCTACATGTTAATGTTAATGTGCAAACGAAGGTCCGTTCAGAACGACTAAACAAACTTTCCACTAAAGTGATGGCTTAACTTGAAAAAATACCGAAAGTTTTTATATGCCAGACGCTACCGAGTATTAGTAACATAAAAGTTGGTTAAATAAACCAGGCGATAATTAACGGAATATCTTTTTTTACTAACAGTTTTTATACAGAATAATGTATTGAAATCGTGTTTTCAATATTTTCAAATTATGTCACATTTTTGTTTCGTTCATTTTTTACATTTTTATATTGTATCGTAATCTAACAAACTTTCTATCATAATTCTGTCGCGAAGAGTGACATTTATATCAAACAGTTGTATTCCCAGTGGCTATATAAGCCCCTAAACCATTCAGAATAATATACATCGACACTTTCCAATCGTTCACAAAAATACACAGTCCTGTATATCCACACAAACAATTATTTTAATCAAAAGACTCATTTGTTACTTTTAAACAAAATTTGTCATGAACAAATCTATGAAATGAAATGAAATTGAGTGAACATGTGATTTTAATTACACTGTCCTTTTTGTAACTTTGTCGTTTAGAAATATATTAATATATTAAATTCAGCTTAATCTTATTCGTTTTGAGCTGATGGTATGGACATAGAAAAAATGGGATTCAAGAAGCATTCAAACATGTGTATTCAAACAGACTCTATAATAACAACTATAACCAAAAACTTGCATACATTTCCGATTACCTGTTGCATACCTGGCATAAGGGGGCTGCAAATTGTGTCTTTTTGACTAGAGCTGGTCACATTCAACAATTAATTTTTTCCATTTGTAGTATCAGTCGCTAACTTCTGGTATTGCTTTTAAATCCCCCCAAAATAAATTTAAAATAATAGTATTATAATATATAGCAAAAACCTACCTTGCCGTTGGCTGCTTCCCACCAATATGTCGAAAAAATACTGAACACTCAATAACAAGGTATAATTGGAATGAGAGATGAATGAGGTGATCTTTCAATCATATACCTTTCAGAAATATTTCAATGTGACCGAAAACGTGATCCTTTTATCGAAGTCACCAAGAATTCGAATCGCCAAAGGCTAGAAATATTTTTAAATGACACATACACGATACATGACATTTAAGTGACGTAAAAGAAGGTGGTTCCAAAATTGCTCAGTGAACGTTCCCTGGAAAATAAAAGACGCATGTAAAAGCCATAAACTGACTTGTTTATTCTCATGACGTACCTTTTTTTTCAGAAATTGGTAAGTTAATCAAATTCATTGAGAATATCCCACATAGCATGGGTTATGTAGAAGCCGATCTACTAATTTATATTTTAAAAAAGATGACAATTAATACTGATGCAGGGGGTGATGCGGCATATTACGTGTATGCATTGTTGTTTTTTTAAAAGCTTAATGTCATAAAGTACAAGTACAAGTTACTTATTGCGCCGCATACCTTGTCATTGAATTTCCGTGATGTAACAAGGATATTGTTTGTAAAGAGGGCAATGTTTCTTATGTAAATGCAATAGGATATTATCAAGGGTGGGATTGGTATAAACTGCTAGAACTTTCTCAATATTTTAACTATCCGGAGTTTAAAATTCGAAAAACACTATCGAATTCCAGACGTTTCCGTTCGTAACTTTCATAACGCGATTTGAGCATAAAACGATACATGAAAGGTTTCTTTATGTTTTTTCCTAAAAGAATAAAAGCTTATTTGGATATGTTAATAATTTCCCAGAGAGATTGGAAGTGCATTTAGCGTTTATAAAGCAAACTTTTGCTGACGGTTGTAGTCTGATAGTAACCGCCTATACACAACTATATTATCTTCTAAATTAACTGTCAAATTTACATGTATTTCATTTAAATTTAATGTCTTACCAACGCCTAATTTATGTCGGGCCAACAACCCACACACCCAGAATTGTCTCAAAATTACTGTTTACTTGTCACTTTTTACTATTCGTCACATCCACCCAAACTTTATGACATTAATTTTGCAACAAACATGTTTACAATCACAAACCAGATCATACACATTATTAACTGACAAAAAGAAAACACCACCCAATTTATAAAAGTTTAACGTGGAATAAATATCATTTTTTGTAAGCATTAAACAAATAGAAATAACTATAAAATATCGGTACAGTTTAGACCAAGTTTTTGGATTTTCATGGTAATTGGGTGACAGAAATCTATTAAATTAAAATCAAAATGTACACACCATGCTGGTTGTGGTGTCGAAGGGGAAATAATTAACAGATATTGGTGTTTCTTGTATTCAAAAACCATGCATGCCAAAACATTCACGGCAGCAACGATACTGTTCTATTAAGTGTTTAAATACTTTTAAGATCGCATTTAACGCCCTTTATGTTATCGCACTACACACCCATTTACTTTTAATTAAATTGTTTTAAGGTTTTTGACGGAATCGGCGACATGTGGGAGAGTGCTAGTAGACGAAATACCATTTTATGATAAAACAAAATGGCTAATTCACCTACATGAAAATTTAGAATTCGACCAAAGCAGGGTACTCCCTATTACAAAATATCGTGGTACTCACTATTACAAAATATCGTGTTCTATTGTACGTAATACAATAAACGATCATTCTGCCGTCTTGAATGAAAAAAGCGGTCCAATGTGCCCATTGCGAGACTGGCGGGGCGCCAAACCAATGTCACTTGGTTTTATGGGCGCCTCGCCAATCATGTCGTTATTGGTGGGGAGCCTCATCCCGGAGGGACACCCATAATGCCGAGATTGGTGGGCCGACCACGACGAAATCTACCATAAGAGAGCCAACAGGAGATTGTAGGAAAATTTCTAGATCAAATTCACGATGTCGATGGGATTCAAACAAGTCTAACCCGTTTCCGAACATTTCGTTTTTCTCATAAATTATTATAAGTACGCTAAAGTCGTATTCCTTCCTTCAAATTTTCAAAATGTTCATATCAAGATATAATAATACACCAATATTTTCCGTCATTCGCATAGTTCCTCACCTCAGGTGCATACCCTGTTTTGCAAAATTTTAGGGGGGGGGGGCACCCTAGCCCTTTCTCACATGAAGGGAAGCGCGTCCACGGTGCCGTTCGCCGTGGACCGTCAAGTGTAGGTACATCGGCGCCCAAGAAGCCCCATCGGCGTCTTCAGAAGCCCTTGAACCTACACCAACATTTTTGGACTAGCTACGGGCCTGCTATTTTACGTTTATTAAGGGAACTTAATCAATACGAGAATCAACTAGTTCAAAAATATTTGAAATAAAGTTGACGAGGTGAAAACTAAAGCCGAGAAACCCTTATTTTAAAATCTTTGTAGCCTCGATTGTCATTGTTAGCGCTGTCACGATAATTAACAAAGTCTCGATTATCCATTTTTGCGTTTAATCATCAACGGACGTTGAACAGCAGATTGGATTCTAATCCAGTGAAAATCGGAGAGATAAAATAGCATCGAGAGATGATTATGGTCTTTTCATGTTAATTAATGCCTAATAATAGTATATATAACATTTCAGGCCTAAATAAAGACTTGCAATCGCCTGATTTACCTCTTGCATAATGCATGTTTAAGAAAAAAGATTTACTGTCTTGGAAGATGACATTTCGTTGTGAAATTTGACCTGTTCATAGGGTGACCCACATAGGCGTTGGAGCTCAAAGTAATTCAGGGGGGCATAAGAGAAAATTGCCCGAAATCAATACCGTTTTTTCGGGCATACCTATCATAAGAGAGCTTCGGGCATATTTTCGGGCATGCAGTGGACAAGAAAAAGACGAGAAAATACTTTTCGGGCAGTGTGCACTGTAAAAAATATCCATTTTTTATGTGGCCGAATTCCGTAATTTAACATTTTTTTTCTGTTAATCGATGCATTTTTTTGGAGAAATTGTGTTAATAGTGTGAATTATTTCTTCAAATTACGTGTTTTATGTATTTCTGTGGAATATTCAGTATTAAACAGGAAATTTCCGCGAAATCTAGGGATAAAATGTTTTATTCCCTTCTATAATGGACTTAATTCTGTTATTTTACGGAATAAACGGTGGAATGACAAGGAAGTTCCGTGAAATTTAGGGATAAAATGTTTTATTCCGTTCTGTAATGGACTGAATTCTGTTATTTTACGGGATAAACGGTGCAACGATAAGTAATCGTATACATATATAATCTTTCCTAATAATGATCATGTTACTGTATTCATTTCAATTTATTAACCATAATATTATGAAGAATCATATTTTGTAACGTTTGGTATATTAATTGACATGTATATCTAATTTCCATTATTTATAAGATCTATAAAGTGTATTGGTATTCATCATACGGAAATCAGATTGTAAGTATTTTCATAAATATGTAAAATATGTTTTAATGCTGCGTGTGTTAAGGTTGTAATATCTGGTAATCAAGCACGCTTAAATCCGGATAGTACAACCGGTTGGCCAGTGTAAGTCGGTTAGTCTCTATGGCAGAGTCTACATACCTGCGAATTGATAATACTGCAAACTTACATCTGAAAGCCTCCAACCACTGACGAGTAGCGGTTTGTGATACCTTGCTCTCGATTCTTATATTAGCGAAATGAGGTTACGTTTAAAGATCATCTGCGATATAGCTATTTCACGCACGCGTATAAAGTCAATGGTTAATTCAATGAAATTTTTATCACCTTCATGGTCAGGAAACAAAATTTACCAGGATTATGTTAATTGAAGGAATTTCTGCCAATTACAGGAAAAACAAATACGGACAAAATTTTCCTGGTAATTTTTGTTTCCGGAATCTTTTACGTTTTTTCACGGAAACTTTTGTTACAGTGTGGATCTCATAGAAATAAGTTAGTTATATTTTTTCTCTAAACGTTAATAGAAAAAAAAGGTCGTCGAATTTTTCATTGCCCGAAAATAAATTTTTGTGTCCCCCGGCTCCTACGCCATAAATAAATATCTCCAAATATCTCGACAATTACGCCACAATATTTATATATATGCCAAGCCTCAAATCAGTTTCACACAATTATAGTCACTAAATAAACGATCATGTTGTACTTAATAAGCTATGACCATTGATCATCTATAAATAATAGACTGAAAACTGGTTCCAAGTGTCGTCCATAACATCCAGACACTTTTGAGTAAAAGATAGGTTACGTGCCCTTGTTTTGAAATTAGTCTCGCTTAACCAGTCTATCGACCATTCTACGTCTGATTGACAGGTCGGGATAATTAAGACTACTTTTTTACGAAACATAACAGAAAGCTAGAACAAGAAATTGAATTTAGAAATAAGCACTTTAGACAACTCAACAATTGTTTTAAGAAACTTGTAAAAGTAAAATGAAACTACTGTTAGTATCATGTTCCTGCTAACGAAAGTGATTCAGAGATAGTATTTGTACTAAACCAAAAGATGCCGCTCTTAAAGGTACAGTCAATGATAAAGCAATTTAAAAAATAAAACAAACGTAATTTCTAAAGCTGTAATAACCAAGAAGCTAAATTTTACTGCTATTCAAAATCGTCAACAATAGATTTTTTACGGCTGTAATAGTTGATATATGTGTAGAGAATTGCACGTGCCATGGCTATATATCGACTTAAAGAGAGTGCGGGGTAGTCAGAAATCAGTTCGAGACACGCAACTGAAGCGTGCACATTTAGCCGTGTCGAGACCAACTTTCTGTAGAGTGCACGGGTCACCCTACTATTCAGAAGAGGCACCAAGGAACAGTTTGAGGCCGATTTTTTGCTTGTACTGAGATGTGCATTTAAGGTCGTACTGACATATGCATTTAAAGGAGCTAAGTCTCTAACTCAGTATTTTCCATAATATTCGAAATGAAAAACACGAATTAGAATTTAATATTGACCAATTTTTAATCAATATTATAGGATCCTAATGTCTAATATTTAAGACACAATTACCATTTTAAAATCAGTAAACGAGTCGTGTACCCTATGTTTTCGAGTGTCAATTTGTAATGAACAAATAAAAACATATTCTACAACACAGTGTGGAAACAGTTAGTAAA